CCAGATTGAAGGATGATCGACCGCGGAGAAGTTTTCCCACCATTTGAATGTTATTCAGACCGATGGACAGTTCTTGAAAAACCACTTGACACAACCTCACGGCGTATACTGCCACCCGAAGTCCCCGGCCGGAAGTCCCCGGAGTAGGGGACTGGCTTCTACTGAAGCGTAAGTAAATCACCAGAAGCGCCGACACCTACTCATCACTCCACCGCTCCCATGTTTTCTTTTGTGTTGCCATAAGTTAGTCTCTCTCCGTTGGTGCGCTGGGCTAATGCTAATAATGCTAATGGTAGCAAATAAATTGGCAAATAAAATGGCAAATAAAAAGGGGGGAAAATGTTGAACTAAGTTCTTGTTCCAGATTTTTTTGGTTTGAATGCTAAATCCCAGGAACTATCGGAACTATTCCGGGGAAAAGTACTCCTGGGGAGAAAAAGTTTCCCATTTCTGATTGGCTGGGCGAATTGCCACCATGCCCCGTAAAACTCTGAACAGTTTTTGTGAAGCCGCCATTTTATTTGCTCACATTAGCATTATTAGCATTAGCATTAGCCCAGCGCACCAACGGAGAGAGACTAACTTATGGCAACACAAAAAAAAAAACTTGGGAGCAATGGAGTGATGAGGAGGTGTCGGCGCTTCTGGCGATTTACTCGGAAGGTCCCCAACTCCGGGGACTTCCGGCCGGGGACTTCGGGTGGCAGTATACGCCGTGAAGTTTTTTTCGGCCTGCCAGTAAACCCAAAGCAGAAGAAGAAGAATAAGTGACGTCAGCGGCTCCCTCAGGGACTTATTCCGGTGTGAACGCGGTTTACTAGATAGTTCCAGGAAATACAAGTTCCGGGGACTATTCCTGGGAAAAGTACTTGGTGTGAAAGCGCCTAGGAATTGTGATGCTAAAAATACAAGTGTATTGTATCTGGGGATTTAGATGTATTTATTAATCTGCCAATTACTTTTTCAGTGCTCAATAAAGTGTTAGCATTACATAAGAAAGTACGAATGTTCTGCTTTCCCTGGTCTTAAATTACAGTTAATTCTGTAATTGTAAGTTTTTGACCTCTGCTCAGACATAACAAGACATGTAATGACATCTCCTGAAGAGAGAGTTGCATTATATTACCTGTTCCACTCTGAGCCTGTTTTTCAGGTCTCAGGCTCGAAAATGACATTCCCAGAACAAATGACCATATCTTCCCTTCTAAAAGGGTTAAATTAATAATCTTTGTTCTCAAAGTAATGATAAACCTGTGAGTTGGATGTAGAAGTGTCAGAATCAATATAAATGTTTTTTATTTTAAAGAAAATTCAGATTTTACATAGTAAAAAACTGTAAATTATAGTGTCCGTCCAAAAATTATTTTTTACAGATAGTGAAAACTACCCTTGGATGATGGGTTAGTAGACTAAAGCTTTAGGAATCCAAAGTACAACATATAATAAGTACCCTGTATCAAGATTGATGCAAAACAAGTGAAATTTGACCTTTTTAGAGAGATTTAGCCAAAAACTGGGCCATCTGGGGTCATTTGGGTGGATTTGACCTATCTCTGGCCCCCCTTGCTCGATTTGGTTGGTTGACATACCCTTGTGACCGTTAGAGCCAATAGAATCGAAGGGGGAGGCTCCCACCCAGACACGTTGTAAAGAAAAAATGTGGTTGCTTCGCGTGTGGAAAACGAAACCAAAGTGGAGGAATGTCTCCTTCTGGAGTTTGGAAACTAAAACGCAGTTGTATTGCTTATGGATTATCAGAAATAATTTCAAAGAAGGCACAGACACATAGGATGAACCTATGGATTAACTGCAGCATCGTTTTTTTTTATCGTTTTAATGCCATTGAAGACCACTTTTGACCAAGGTAAGCCATATTTACGTGTTTAGCTTCTTAGCTCCACATGTGATGATGTACGCTTTCGTTTAGAGCGTCGCGAATGTTTATCACTGAGTGTTGAGGAGGGCACCGGTAGATTCAGTGTCTCCAGGACACCAAAAAAGAGTGGTTGGTTGTGCATCTAGGATAAGTAATAAGGGAGTTAGAGTGAGTTTAGTTGCCTTAGTATGTTACGTTTTTTCCGCTTGAGGCTAATTCAGAGGCTGAGTGCTAGCAATGTGGGTTTTTTTTTGAAAAAAAAAATTAAAAAGATCAGTTAGCTGAGTTTCTTCCCGTTACATGGATATAACACATTCATAGTTTTATTCAATATTAAGATTCCTTAGACGTTGTTTCCTGCAAATGACGCATTTATCCGCCCGGTACCGGGGGGAAGGTGTGAAACAGGTTTTTAAGCAAAGACTGCTGTCATAGATGAAGAGGAGCTCAAAAGGGCATTCTGAAAAGCTAATTGTCTATCAGGGACAAGCTACACAAATGTGCCATTTAAGGAATGCTTTAGGAAAGTATTTCATGTTTTATTTCAATAAATTATAATCAGCGTTGTTTATAATACTCTAGATATATTTTCTGAGCAATCACTTTAGATTAAAGGTGCCTCATTTAGAGGTTTGTTCTTGTATTTAAAGGCTTCTTCCAAAAAACACAGTGTTGTTTCAAGAAATAGCAGGAAAGACGTGCTGTATAAAGCATATCAATTGGAAAAAAGTGGCTTTGCAAATGTTTAATGGAGAAGAAAATCTATTGAAATTGTTTTAGGATTTGGCGAGAGTGCTGCAATAAGGTGGAATTTTCTACAGATGACTTGGAGCAAATTGTGCAATTGTGGGAAAAAGGTGAGCAAAGTGTGCTAAAGCAGTTCTGGTTCTTGTTTGTCCAAACAAAGTCCAGCGTTGTTGACATTCACTGAAGTATTGATCTTTTCAGATGTGAAGTAGGCAGTCCTGTAGCTACGTCACGGACAGAAATGCTGATGCTTTTTGATCCTACAGTGTACAATAATCCACCCTCTGTGTTAATGGAGTTTAGAGAGAGAGAACTCACCCGCCTGATGTTGTTGAAGTCCTTCCTTAAAGGCAGACAGCCTTCTCAGGTCACATGAAATCCTGTCAAAACATCTTTAAAAACAGAAGACAAATCTTAGCTCAGATGTGTCCTCTCCAGCTTCGACTTCCTTTTTTTCACACCACATGCAGACGTTTTACACAGACCAAGTTAGAAGTAATTCATAAAACAAAAACACATTTCACTGCGTCCTACACTGACGGTTCTTTCCTATGAATCCCATCCAGCAATTATTAATCTCATCTCTATGAGTTCAGCTATTTCCAACACTTGTGTTTGTTTGTTATGGTTTCATTGGAAGCTGCTTTATTTCAATAGTGTCATTTTGAGACCTCTTGTGGCTGAACAGGGAAGCAACTTGAGATACATAGATAGATAGACTGATAGATAGATAGATAGATAGATAGATAGATAGATAGACTGATAGATAGATAGATAGATATACTGATAGATAGATAGACAGATAGATAGAAAGATAGATTGATAGATAGATAGATATACTGATAGATAGATAGATAGATAGATAGACTGATAGATAGATAGATAGATAGATAGATAGATAGATAGATAGATAGATAGATAGAGAGATAGTGTAGTGGCAATTTCTTATATTACTTTATATGGTAAAACCAAATGCAACACTTATATGATGAAAACTGTATTCAGTACATGTCTCTTTGTTCGACTTGTTGTTCACCCAGATGCTTCCTGCCAAGGTCACATTTGAACAGTACAGTTATTGTTCCTCAAAAGAGCATTGCAAGATAACAGTCAGCAGAAAGTGTTATCTCTCTTTGTCTGCACAGCAACAGTTACAAAAAAGCGCCAAGGTCCTCTATAAATCACACACACACATTTCACTCTGTGTGCACTCCTGCAGACTACTCTATACTCTGTATGACATGCACCTTTGAAGCGCTTCAAATAAAGAACTAACAAGACAACTCTGTTTGCATCGGACCAGTTTTATTATTATTATTACTAGCCTACTAGTACATCTCCAGATTGTTGACGAGTGAAAGTTTCCACAACAATAGATAGATAGATAGATAGATATGTACTTTATTGATCCCAATTTGGGAAATGTTTGCGTTGCAGCAGCGTAAAAAAAGGCAATGTACATAAGATAAATGAAGACACTAGAAATAAACAGTCCAAAATATTTCTGAAATAAAATTGCATTAAAACGTTTTTTATATATATATATATATATATATATATATATATATAGTAATATATGTGGAACATATACATATGGAAATACAAATTTCCAGTAACAAATATAATGCAGGATATTATTATTACCCTAAATACCTGAAAATGAAATGATCAACCTATGCTTAACCAAAAAAGATTACATCTAAGATTAGTAAAATCAATACCAATGATAGATATCGCATTTTAACAATTTTATGTAACTAGTAAATGGACTGTACTTATATCGTTTATTTTGTATTTTATCAGGTATTGTGGACCCCTCAAAGCACTTTACATAGTAATCATTCATACCTGATTTATACAAAGCAGTACCACTTTCTCTGGCCCCTGTAAATGATTCCTGCTTTATGTTTAAATATATGAAAACATTACAAATTCTCATTGTGCGCACTTCAATGAGTAAACACACCCAATTTGATCAGAATTCATTTGTATATTATCCACAGTTATAAAAAGAGGTTTTCAAAAATGTGTAAATTAGTTCTCTCCATACAGTAAAACATGCTAAATTGTGCAGGTTTTCAACCTGGCGGAGAGCGTAAACCTTTCTCTAATGCCTCTAAATTAAATATCAGATTGTGCAAAAGCCTTATTTAAAAACACTACAATGTCATCTTTAAATCATACTGTACATTTAAATAAGTAAGCTGCAAAAAGAGGATTCCCCCCTTTACGAAGGTTATTTTAAATGTGTGCCAACATGGTATTTATTTGATCAAACCTACATGGAAACACAGAGTGCTTTACACACAATTACTGTATGAGGAAACAACTTTAAAAAACAATTAGACATGTAAATTATTCAATAGAGAACCACATCCATTATTTAAGTAGCTTTTATACTTTAATAGTTTAAAATCGTAGCACCTTTTTCATATTTCCATTTTAATATTCATTATACATTTCCAATTCCAACAAATACTGGCTCACAACAAACAGAACAATGAGACATCAACCCCTTAAAGACTAAATAATGCATTATTTATTCAAAAATAGTTATAACATTATATATTATAACACAGAGTACTTTTTTTTACAGCATAGTTCGATTTGGTATTTACTAGACATTTACAAATGTTTATTCTAATGCTCCCCTGAGAATACTTATTTCAAAAATATACACACAATCATGTTTAAATAGTTGCAACAGTCTCTGTATTTTTAAGGAGTGTCTGAATGACAAAAAAACTGTTTAAATTCACATTGAATTGGTTGTGTTGAATACAGCAGATAGAAGCTTCTACCAAGTATTAAAGAGGTCATATTACGCAAATGTTCAGGTTCATATTTGTATTTTCTGTCTCTCCTGGGACATGTCTCCATGCTTTAAGGTTCAAAAAGCTCTTTATTTTTCTCATACTGCCTGTGCTGCAGCACCTCTTTTCACCCTCTGTCTGAAACCAGAGCCCACTCTGCTCTGATTGGTTAGCTGGCCGGCTTTGTTGTGATTGGTCAACCGCTTAGAGATGTCCCGCCCCTTAGCCTATCACGTGCAATGTGTTGGAGCGCTAGCTAATAGAATCCCGAGTGTTGCAAAGTGTCACTATGTTCAGTAGCAAACAAATGAGTCTGAGGCGTAAAATGCATAATAAGGCCTCTTTAACCCTATATTAGAAGTTCTGCTGTGATTTTGTGTAGCATCACTGTTGTTGTTATGTATACAATGAAGTGCAGCCACTGGTTTAAAATATAATGTCCCTGCAGAAGGAGTGTAGATCACCAACAGGTGTCACTGCACGACATCACATGCACACAATGCATGAAATGTAATGTAACAGTGAACTCATCAAAGAGGGTCTTTTTGTGTTTGTGGAGGTAGCGCGTGCTAAAAGGTGCTGCTCTGCCGAGCCAGGAAGTAATCCATCTTCTTTGTCCTTTTAGGTTTGAAGAGGACGTAAAGGAAGATGGAAACCACGGTCAGGAAGCAGGACGCGGCGACCACGGCGACGACCAGCCAGGTGAACGAGGAGTCTGCGGAGAGAGAGGTACATTAATGTTTCCATACAGATGAGGATCGTTTCTGTTAAAACTTCGATTGGCCATTAGTCATATGTGTTCATAAATGTATTTTTGATTGATTTTGAGCTCATTAAATAAGTAAAGTTAGTGTGATCAAGGGCTGAAGACTGTTCAATATTTGTTAGAGCTCTCTCTTAGATATCTGTTAGAAGATTTATTTGTTTCCCTGGCACAAAAGGGGAATAAATAACAATAAAATCAGCATCTGCCAAATTGTTATTCTAAATATCAGTATCGGCTTGGAAATGTGCATCCTTAGTTATCATAAACAACATCAATGTACAAAGAACAAAATACATAAGATACTGCTTAATATTTTCTCAATTTCAATACATTACACACTCTATATACACACGCACACAACTCACCCTCTAGTTGAAGCAGTGCGACCACTTCCTGTCTCCCTCCTTCGTTCTGAGCGACACATTTCAGCTCCGTGTTCACGTCTTCGTCCGTCATCGCTACGACAAGAAGCCTCAACTCCACCTGGCACACTTCAGACTCCCTGGTTACCCTGAGAGCATTGAGACATATTTTAAACATATATATATGATAGGGCAGGTGGGTTACATGGGAAAACAATTATTAGCTTTTATCGGATCTACCTAGGCAAGATGTTCATATAACAACAATCCAGTATGAGCAGCTTTGAACAAGCATCACTCCTTTATAGTGTTTCGAGTATGTTTAGTAATATCTGAATTATAATAATAAACCCACTTCAAAATTGTTGGTATGCATCCTAAAAAAAGTTTTACACCTTTTTTTTGTTTTTAGGCAAGGCAAGTTTATTTATATAGCACCTTTCAACACAAGGCAATTCAAAGTGCTTTACAAAAATGAAAGACATTAAGAAAATGGCATTTAAATTAAAAAGCAAAGAAACATTAAAAGAAAAAATACATGAATAAAAGTTACAGTGCAGTGTAAGATATGAATAGTTCAATTAAAAGCAGCCAATTTAAACTAATATTTGTATTAATATCTTTGTAGTTGCAATTTTCCTTTTTGAAACTAGGTCTCTTTTTCGGGGGAAACATAATAATGATTATAACCTTTTTAAGGTTTTGCTAGTCCCCATTCACTTTCCCTACAACCAGTACACACCTGTTCGACCTCATGTTTCAAATTGACTGAAAGTTTAATCTAAAATTAAGCAGAAATTACCTCCTTCCGCCCTGCAGAGCCCGTCCATCAAGGTACGAGGACTCCACTGATTGGCCGTTGACGAGCCATGTGACCACAGTGGACTCTGCTGTTCGACAGTCAGTGAGCACTTTACAGAACAGCTCCAGTCCTGAACCTACAGACAGGCAGATTACAACAATATTAGACCTTTGACGATCTTTTAATTAAAGCATTTAGCAAATATATGTATTATTACAACTATTTATATTTGTGACACTTACCGTGCAGACTTTCAAAAACAGTTCCATTCTTTGGCGAGACGATCACAGGCGGTCGAATCACTGGAGCTGATTTGTAAAGGATTACATTAAATTATCAGCATCAGTTTTTGATAGATAGATAGATAGATAGATAGATAGATAGATAGATAGATAGATAGATAGATAGATAGATAGATAGATAGATAGATAGATAGATAGATAGATAGATAGATAGATAGATAGATAGATAGATAGATAGATAGGTGGATGGATGGATAGATAGGTGGAATGATGGCTGGCTTGGCTGCTGGCTCGGCTGGCTCGCTCGCTCGCTCGCTCGCTCGCTCGCTGGCTCTCGCTCGCTGGCTCGCTCGCTGCGCTCGCTCGCTCGCTCGCTCGCTCGCTCTCGCTCTCGCTCGCTCGCTCGCCTCGCTCGCTCGGTGGCTGGCTGGCTGCTCGCTCGTGGCTGGCTGGCTGGCTGGCTCGCTGGCTGGCTGGCTCGCTCTCCTCGCTCGCTCGCTCGGTCGCTCGCTGGCTGGTCTCTCGCTCGCTCGCTCGCTTGGCTCGCTGGCTGGCTCTCTCGGTGGCTGGCTGGCTGGCTCCTCTGTCGCTCGCTGGCTCGCTCGCTCCGCTCGCTCGCTCGCTCCCTCGCTCGCTCGCTGGCTGGCTGGCTCGCTCGGTGGCTCTCTGGCTGGCTCGGTCGGTCGGTAGGTAGGTGGGTGGGTAGGTAGATAGATAGATAGGTAGAAGTTAATAAATATACATGTGGAAATACACATTTCCAATAACAAAATATAATGCAGGATATTATATATACATTAATTGTGCAATAAATTGATTATTCAATATTAAATTGAACATAAATGTAAAAGGTACAGTGGGAGTTTAAGTTTTTCTATTGTCCACTCAGGGTAATTTGTATTGTACAAAGTAAAACAGTAGCTTACTGTGAACAGTGCTGCTGCTGAGTATCTCTGGGTGAGAGGTGGAGGAGAGGTGGAGCAAAGTGGGGGAGGGGGTGCTGGGTGTTTCAGGATCTACACCTTTATACATACAAACACATTTAGACAGAGTGTGAACACAAGGAAACAAACAACTCTTGAAAATGACAGAAACATTTACTTATATAACACAATAATAATAATAATTCATACCATGTAACTGTGTGCTTGTGCAATTTCTTCACATCTAAAGTAATATGGAGTTAGGCCAGTAGAGGGCAGGGTGTGCTAATAAATACTGACATTTGTTTATATTTACATTTCTATTTGTACTGACTCAATGTATAAACTTAAAACCCCCCAATATATTGTTTTGTTTTTTAATGAAATACATTTAAGTCCACAATTGTTTTCTTGTATATGTATGGGAGCAGAAACATGACAGGGGAGATACAAACATCAATTAATTCACATATTGTAATAAAGATACCTACAATATGTGCAATAAACCAGAATAAAGCAGACATATTTACTTTAATAAGCCAAACCATTGTAAGTGCTGGTGCATTAGTTTCAAATAAGCTCAATTCATTAAGTGCATTAAAAAAAAACACAACAAATGTAAGTATTATTCTATACATTGGCCATGCTTTGTAAAGATTTCATAAATAGTTTTCAAAACCAAACATAGCAATGTTTCTGATAACAGCTCTGATTTACCCTTGTCAGTCCCTATGGTAAATAAGCTAAATCCATTAAGAGCTATTTAAAAAAAAGTATTATTCAGTGGAATGGGGCGAAGCCTGCGAGCTAGTTCAGGCAGTCAACTCGAGCACCAATGATACATTAACACGTGACGCGTCTCTCTTACAACCAACCAAACACATTCTCCTAAACATGCCGCTCTATTTAAGCTGCCAGGTCTTCCTGCCTCTGCCTCGCTATGCTGCTGCTGCTACTGCTGTGTTCACTTGCTACTGCTACGTTCATGTTCCTGCTGCTGTGTTTCATGTTGCTGCTGCTTGCCTGCCCCCCCACCACCCCAGCTCCACCCCAGCTTCCACCCCAGCTTCCACCCCAGCTTCCACCCCAGCTTCCACCCCAGCTTCCACCCCAGCTTCCACCCCAGCTTCCACCCAGCTTCCACCCCAGCTTCCATCCCAGCTTCCACCCCAGCTTCCACCCCAGCTTCCACCCCAGCTTCCACCCCAGCTTCCACCCCAGCTTCCACCCCAGCTTCCACCCCAGCTTCCACCCCAGCTTCCACCCCAGCTTCCACCCCAGCTTCCACCCCAGCTTCCACCCCAGCTTCCACCCCAGCTTCCACCCCAGCTCCACCCCAGCTTCCACCTGTAGGCTCGGGGGATAGTTATCTAATCATCACTCAATGTTCTTTGTATATCTGTGGAGTGATGAGGCCCGAGCCTAGACGCCAAACTCAAACTATATGCTGCTTCTAATAAACATATTAAGAAACACGTGAGTTGTCTGACTGAAATCAGGTTTTTGCCGTTAATATCAAGCTAAGCTTCTATATCAACCAAAAAAAAGAAGAGAAAAAGGTATGCTTGATCTTAATGGCAATCATTCAATATTGGCTATGCTTTGTTTTAAAGATTTCATAATTCGTTTTCAAAACAAAGCATATACATGTTTCTGATCTGATATCAGCTAATAGATAGATAGAATAGTATAGATAATGGATAGAATCGGAGGATGAAACCCTCTTTATTGATCACACATGTTCATGCACACATCACACACAGTGAAATGTAGTCTCTGCTTTTTACCCATCCTATCACTTGGAGCAGTGGGCAGCAAATCAAGCAAAGAAAAGACAAAAGGGTATGCTTGATCTTATTGGCGATCATTCAATATTGGCTATGCTTTGTTGTAAAGATTTCATGAATACTTTTCAAAACATAACATAGAAATGTCTCTGATAACAGCTCTGATGTACACTACACTTGTCACTCACTATAATAAATGAAATGTGGTCACCCACCTCTCACGATGAGCGCGATGCTCCTGCTCACTCTGTACGGCTGCTCATCGATGGTCACAGTGAGCCGGCAGGTGTACAGACCTGCGTGTGAACGCCTCACAGCAGGGATGATCAGTCTCCCTCTGAGCTGGCTGAAGGGTCCGCCTTTCCTCGAGTCCTGAAGGAAGAAACACACTGCGTCACTCACTGAGGAGAAGACAGACATACATATACCGTACCACCTTTACAGCTCACTTAAAAACATGGTTCACTGAGAACTAGACCTGCACACACTCGTCTGTGTTGGATACGGCGTGTACAAATGAGTCCCAGTGTCTAAAAAACATCCCATTGCAAAACTACTTTGAGAACAAATACATTTTAGAAAATACTTGAAACAAGCTGATTTGCTTTGGAAACTAGTCTAATCAAGTAAAAGCGATGACATGAAACAGTTTAGCTCAGCCGTGTTGTGTTGCTGTATAAAACGCAGAAGTTGGGTTTTAAATCCGTCCTCTCACCTTGTGCCACCCGATCAGTGTCTCCGTGTCGTTGAAGTCGTCCAGAGACGGACATGCGTATCTCAGATTCTCTCCCACGAGGACTTCTACTCTGTTGGTGACTTTCTCCATGACAACAGACCTGGACTCGTACACCTTTAGCGTTATATTCCCAGTCACACAGTACGTTTCATTTCTGGAGACAAAAGCAGCAGGACACACTTTAGAAAATTAGGATATGGTCACAAAAGAAAGCTGTTTCTGCATTTTCTGAATATGTATTTAACTTAAAGATTAGATAGGATTACATTTAAATGGTTGAAAGACTGTAGAAAAAGTTCATTTTTCAAAATAAAGTTCAGAATGAAGCATAGCAAACATGGAAGTACAGGTTACCGCGCAAAAGATAAACATCGGAGACTGCCATTGGTGGATGTGACTGTAATCACAGACGTGCTGTTGGTGGTGAATAGGGCTGACATTGGCCGATGCCGATCTCTTACCGATATATCGGTGCATCTCTATATAATATAATTATTATAATATGATTTATTCTGGAACATAGTGACATCACTATGTAATGGCGCATTTCCACTACAGCGCGGAGCTCGCTTTAAGCGTGCCGTGTCGTGCCGTGCCCGTTTTTGGTTGCGCTTCCACTAGGCCTAGTCACGGCCCGGCCCGGCCCGGGGCCACTTTTTCACCTCTTTTCTGGCCCGACAAAATTGTGGTTCTATCAAGGCCAACAAACAGGGCTGAGTCGGGCTGAGTATGCTAAACTAGAGAGAGGAGCGCTGGCAAGGGGGCTACAACTACAACAAGATGGACATATTTGACCGTGATTTAATTGTAATACACGCTTCAAAATGATGCCGAAGTAACAACATACTGATACCGGTTAGTAAAAACCATGAATTAATGCTTTGTCAAGTCTGCAGACAGACGGCAGGTGAAAAACCTTTTAAAATGCGTGTTTTTCTAGATGGAGATTGGTTAAGCTAACGCAGTATATGCTCCGACCGTCCACACTCACAACAACGGCCTATACAGACATAAATAAAGCAGCGACTGTATTCGCCATGACACAGGCAGTCTGTGGTTTGTACTTGTTTAACTGTTGTCGAGTTTCTGAACAGATATAAGGAGCTGTGAGCTCTGAGTGCTAACAGCTAACGGCTGTGTTGTGTTTCTGGAGTTCTCATTGAAGATGACGTCACGGCTCCGCCTACACTGCGTTACTATAGTAACTACCCCAGTTCCTAAACTGTAATGGAAGCGCAGCATGAAGTGAGTCGGCCCTGTTAAGGCCCAACGCGGCCAAGCCGTACCGAGCCGTACCGAGCGTGGCCGAGGCCGACCGTGTAGTGGAAATGCGCCATAACACTCACACTTCTATTGACCAGCACTTCAACACATTGCACGTGATAGGCTAAGGGGCGGGACATCTCTAAGCAGTTGACCAATCACAACAGAGCTGGCCAGCTAACCAATCAGAGCAGACTGGGCTCTGGTTTCAGACAGAGGGTGAAAAGAGGTGCTGCAGCACAGGCAGTATGAGAAAAATAAAGAGCTTTTTGAACATTAAAGAATGGAGACATGTCACAGTAGAGACACTACATACTGATATACACCTGAACATCAGCAGGAGAGGACTCTTTAAAGTAGAGACACTACATACTGATATACACCTGAACATCAGCAGGAGAGGACTCTTTAAAGTAGAGACACTACATACTGATATACACCTGAACATCAGCAGGAGAGGACTCTTTAAAGTAGAGACACTACATACTGATATACACCTGAACATCAGCAGGAGAGGACTCTTTAAAGTAGAGACACTACATACTGATATACACCTGAACATCAGCAGGAGAGGACTCTTTAAAGTAGAGACACTACATACTGTTATACACCTGAACATCAGTAGGAGAGGACTCTTTAAAGTAGAGACACTACATACTGATATACACCTGAACATCAGCAGGAGAGGACTCTTTAAAGTAGAGACACTACATACTGATATACACCTGAACATCAGCAGGAGAGGACTCTTTAAAGTAGAGACACTACATACTGATATACACCTGAACATCAGCAGGAGAGGACTCTTTAAAGTAGAGACACTACTGACTGATATACACCTGAACATCAGCAGGAGAGGACTCTTTAAAGTAGAGACACTACATACTGATATACACCTGAACATCAGCAGGAGAGGACTCTTTAAAGTAGAGACACTACATACACCTGAACATCAGCAGGAGAGGACTCTTTAAAGTAGAGACACTACATACTGATATACACCTGAACATCAGCAGGAGAGGACTCTTTAAAGTAGAGACACTACTGACTGATATACACCTGAACATCAGCAGGAGAGGACTCTTTAAAGTAGAGACACTACATACTGATATACACCTGAACATCAGCAGGAGAGGACTCTTTAAAGTAGAGACACTACTGACTGATATACACCTGAACATCAGCAGGAGAGGACTCTTTAAAGTAGAGACACTACATACTGATATACACCTGAACATCAGCAGGAGAGGACTCTTTAAAGTAGAGACACTACATACACCTGAACATCAGCAGGAGAGGACTCTTTAAAGTAGAGACACTACATACTGATATACACCTGAACATCAGCAGGAGAGGACTCTTTAAAGTAGAGACACTACATACTGATATACACCTGAACATCAGCAGGAGAGGACTCTTTAAAGTAGAGACACTACATACTGATATACACCTGAACATCAGCAGGAGAGGACTCTTTAAAGTAGAGACACTACATACTGATATACACCTGAACATCAGCAGGAGAGGACTCTTTAAAGTAGAGACACTACATACTGATATACACCTGAACATCAGCAGGAGAGGACTCTTTAAAGTAGAGACACTACATACTGATATACACCTGAAAATGAATATAATATGTCCTCTTCAGCGTAAAGATAATGTCAGCACAGCTGAGGGATATATCTTTTCTTAATGCATACCTGTAGGTGCAGATGTATAACCCTGAGTCGGAGGCCTGTGCTGGGAGAAACCTCAGCTGTTTGTCCCTCTGCTGAACACGGCCCTCGCCCTGAAAGGACACGCCCTCCGTCCCATTGTCCTTGGTGATGATGTAGTTTGCGTTTGGGGGGGCGATGTTACGTACTTCGAGCACTCTGTCAAATATTGGGCAGGAGAGGATTATAGCCTCACCCTCCAACACAAAAACATCCACCTCACCTTCAGTAGCCAGGAAGCAGCCGTCTGCTGGGGGAAACCAGAGAATAACATTTTAAAATCTACATTTATAGTTGTTCTGTTAACAGTCCATAAAGCACTAGTTACCTGTAATAAAAGTTAATCAGTAACCTTATGTCAATATTCAAAAGTAACCTGATTACTTTCCGCTACTTATAGATGACCTCACTATCAAATGCAATGCAATTAAATACAAGAGAAATTAAATAAGAATAAAATGTTTTTGACTTGAGTGTATTTTGTAAGACGACAGAACAATGTAACCTTAGAAAAGAAGAAACAAATATATTTAGGATAAAAAATGTAGTAAATCCTGCCTTTCATGAAGCATATTCAGGCAGTAGCCTATACGCCAACACTGAAACACATGAGCACATTCTACAGTTTAAAAAATCAGAAATTAAATCTGAGCTGACAGAAAATGCTCCGTTTTAGTTTAACACACACAGTTAAGCTCACACACTATTTTATGAACATATAGGTTCACCTGCTGAATTAAAAACAGAACAAATGAAGCAAAGAAAGTGAAAACCATGCTCTTTTTAGGTTTTTAGGAACACTGTAATCCTGCTCGTACTCCCACATTTTTAGATATGTAACAGTAATCTGATTATTTTATGTAACTGTAACGGTATACAGTTGCCTTGTTATGAATCCTGTAATCCCGTTACATGTAATCCACTACTCCCCATGCCTGAATGCAACATGTGCAGAGACAGATCACACAGCATGCTCACCTTTGACAGTCAGAGCAGGTAGTAGAGGAAGTCCAGCGACATTTTGGATGAAGATGACAGCGAACATCCACCCTGAGTGCAGCATGGCGGCAGTCTGCAGGACACACAGCTCACAGTCATGACACTGAGATTGACACTGCACCAACGTGGTTTCATTTAAAGTCTTTCCTAAACTTCTTACATCACAAGAGTAGTCATCGAAACGCCGGCACTCCTGCCCCCCCCCACCCTCTACACACACTCTCTACACACACTCTCAACAGCCACATTTAACCAGGGGCTTTACCGATTGCATCACATGAGGTGACTCAACTTAAACAGGCCACGGATATCAGCGGTCAGCAAATTAATAACTAGACATTTAGCCTATTCATAATTCAAATATAAGCTTGATTTCCCCGCTGTTTAAACACAACTTTAATAGCTTTATCAAACATTAAGAATTCAATAATGTAATAGATTTAATCAACCAAGGATGTGATATGGTTTACAGGGTAAATAAAAAAAACAATCAACAAATCAGAAAAGGACTTGATTTCTTATTCTCATATTATTTTTTCCTTTTCATTTACCACATTCTTCCAATCTGAATTAAATAAGTTATAACAAGTTTAACCAAGTCATTGTGATTTGTTTGATAATTGCTACTCCTATTGCAAAGAATAAGTCAGTGTTTTTCCAAGAAATGGGTTCTTACTTACAGAAATACAAACATTTGTTGACATTTTATCTGATAACTATTCTCCAGAAGCCACTTAAGACTTAGCAGGACAAAATGCTGTTAGTCAAATAATTAAAGACCTCATTTTGAGTTATAGAAGCCCCCTATATTTGGATGAGTTTCACTTTTATTAACATGAAAGTAAGGTTTGCTTTTGTCTTTCAGCATCGTCATATCATGAGGAAATCATATAGAGAAATATTCTGATGCCGTCTTAATTGATAATTAAAATTATTATTAACACTAGCCCAGTGTAGTTAAATTAAACTATTATCTTACTCTGAGATGTCTGTTTGATTCTGTAATATAATATGTAATACCATTTTTAATTGAATCAGAAAATCCTACATTAATGTCAAGTATTTCCTTAACACAAGAGTAAATGATAATAGGCTTTACCATGAGGTTATATATTATGTTGATTATATGTATAGCAATAACATATATTTGTATACACAACATGCTATATATTCTATCTCGGAATACACATTTTAATATATACTCTGCATTGTTCTGCTTCAGTTTGTATTTTCTTTTTTTAGGAAGGTCAATTCTCCAATTTGTTTCCACAGTGAAATCATAATTTCCATAGAAACCAGATAATTTTCACTTCTGCTTCCTCGTCTGTGATTACCGGGATCAGATGACAGGCAGCACTTTCACACACACACACACACACACACACACACACACACACACACACACACACACACACACACACACACACACACACACACATACCATGTATACATCCCTTCAGGGGACATTACATTGACTTACATGCATTTCCTGGAGACTTATCCTAACCTTAACCATAACCAACACATGCCTAACCCTAACCCTTAACCTAACCCTAACCAAGTCTTCACCCTAAAATTAATGATTCCCCTCATGGGAATTATGTCCCCATAAGGGAGGCGAGTCCCCACACGTGACTGTGTAAACAGATGTAGGTCCCCACAAGGATAGTAATGCTAGGACACACACACACACACGCACACGCACAGCACCAGTCATTAACCTTTTCCCCAATCATTTATTGGATCAGTGTGTCAAAGCACAATCCCATTCATAAACCAGTGGGAGTGTCATGGTGTAACTGGGTTTGTATCGTATGAATCACAAGGCACTGCATCGTCTGTGATCAAATGAAACTATTAAAAATATCCTACAAATTCCTGACAATCACGCATACCTCACTCTGTGTCAATTACATAATAGATTTATAATACTGTATGTAGGTGTTTAATTCAGTTTCTGTTCAGAGAGGGTTAATGAGTCAGTTCCAGTAATCCTCATTGCAGTCATTTTGCTACGTTTGTATTTTATTTTTATGATAAAATACATATATGTTCACCAACAATGTGTAGTTGTATACTTATATTTATTCATGAATTGTGGATATAATATGTGGAATCATTCACTGATTCAATTAAGAAGACCGAGATATTGTTAAATAGATTCTGTAATGTACATCAAACGGTTTTACACAGAATCTCAAACTTTTGATTAAAGTTAGCCTCACATTTATAGTGTAAAAAAATACTAATTAAATAGTGACAATGCTACAATTTAAAAAGGGTGCATTAAAAGATTGTATAAAAATAGTTCACATATTATATTAACAACAAATACACACCCACACACACACTCTCTTCATATACGTTAAATACACTGCATACACAATAGACACACAAAGAGCAGTACTCACGGTGTACAGGTGACGGTGTTGACAGGCAGGTGTGTGAGTCGGTGTGTGTGTCTGGTGTCGCCTGTGGTCTCTTCCCTGCCGGCTCAGGGGGAACCTATGTTCTCTTTTCAATGTTCCCACCCCCTCTGAAATGGAAATTTCTCAGGTTTCCCAATGTAACGCAGTGTACGTACAGCTCACCACTGCTCAGCACACACACATACATTACACAGTATACACACACACACACACACACACACACACACACACACACACACACACACACACACACACACACACACACACACACACACACACACACACACACACACACACACACACACACACACACACACACACACACACACACACACAGCTGCAGTTGTTTCCTGCAGGTTCATTCTGAAAAAAGACAGCTGTCTAGTTTGAGAGTGTGTGTTGTGGCTCTTCCTCTGGCATCATCTGCCTCTTGCGTCAATATTGGACTCTGTATGTTTTAGCACAAAAACATAAAATGATCTACACATGAGAGAATAATAATCAATATGTTGTGATTGTCCCATTTTATAAAAGAACATTTTCTCACCACTTGTAGTCTCTAGCTATTTTAAATGTCATTTGTTTTCAGGGTGACTTCACAACATCTGTCTATGGACTACAGATTGGCACATTTACAGAAATGTCTATTAATGTGCACTGTCAATTAAACTAGTCAAATAAAGAAGATAGCCATGCACATAGTTTAGTCTTTTACGACCCAGTGTTTGAGACATTTCTGTTTCCACAAAAAGTTATCTGTATTTTGGGGCCGGTCACTGACAGCGCTCATCTGCCAATACTGATCTCTCACCGATCACAGGGTCCATTTGAAGACTGAATCGTGTATCAACTATTACCAACAACATTTTATAACATACTCCACCATCTCTTGAAGCCTCTCCCAGAGCTGCTCTCTCTGTAACTGTGTGTGTGTGTGTGTGTGTGTGTGTGTGTGTGTGTGTGTGTGTGTGTGTGTGTGTGTGTGTGTGTGTGTGTGTGTGTGTGTGTGTGTGTGTGTGTGTGTGTCAGTCTTCATATCCAGAAATGAGTCTGGAAGTTTTTGGAACGTGTTTTGCCTGAAAGATCTGTCCCTACTATCATAAGAGATTTATAATAAGTGACTGAATAAACTGCTAAACATCATCACGCTGACAGAGTCCGCCTTTAGCTTAGCGGTGGTGATGCACGTAGTTAGTTCATAGTTATATACTTCTGCAGATTGCATTTAGGTTTCAAAAGTGATGTTAATATGTGAGGATTATCCTGTTGAACAAAACATGTAAGTATCATGTACGTGTCTTTGCCAAAGATATTATTTCCTGCAATATTCCACAATCTAATGGATAAATGTATTGCTTTTCGTTGAGGGACCCCTTGCATTTAAGTGTCTTAACCTTTTTATACAAAACAGTGAAACATGTGATGGTCTCTTTTTTTAATTTTGGGTCCATACATGTTAGCTGTTCGCCTCTGCTTCCAGTTTTTAAGCTAATCTAGGCTAGTTTCCTCTGGTTTCAGCACCATACTATTCTCCCAGACATGAGTGTGTCTGTGTGCAGAGCAGACTGTTGCCAAAGCAGTTACATTCTTGCATACATATGAACTGAAGGCTGTGCTAGAGGAAGAAACCAACTCTCCTGTATAAACACACGTTGAGGAACAGCTGTGTCAGAGTGATGTGACTCACTGCTCTGTCATCTCCCTGCGTGGAAACCATGGTGTCCCCCATTGTGCATTATTGTGGATAAGTCAGTTCTGCTGACACATTGATGGTTTTCCATTATAGACATTAGACACACTTATGACACGAGTACTCTTCTGCAATCTAAGATAGTCTGGCCTGGTTGTCATGGCATCAATCCCATACCTGGGGGAGGTTGATGGTTGGATCCAGTGCAAGAGCATTTCATTCAATGTGAGTAGAAGCAGAACAATGTTTATTGTTTGGATTTACAGAGACGGATTACAAGCACAACCTGCACTTTTAAACTAAATCAATGTGACTAATCTTTATTGGACACACTGTGATCCCATGGACATACTTTAGTAAATACTTTAGAGTCTGGAGTTCTTCATTCCTGTAACTAAAAGGCTTACTTCACTTGATACTGGATCACGTTAAGAAACAGCCAACTACTCTCTAGTTTATACTCTGATCCATCCTCATGCATGGCAATGGATGCAGAACTAATCACACATACTTTATAGGTGATTGATGAACCTTATTTGAATAGAATAAATACACATTTATATAAGTGTATACTCTAGTTCTGCTCACATTGCCTTCTTCTGCCCATGACTCCTTGCACTTTGGATTTCCTTTACTCAGCAAAATGTGAGTTAAAAAATAAATACTTTATATGTTTTGTGACTGTTGAACCTTATTTGAATAGAATACATAAACATTTATATATTGTTACTTTCTGGTAATTATATACACTGTAAAATCTTATACAGTTCTTTGTTTGTAATTGATCTTGAAACTCAAATGTATTAATTGGAAAGTTGCAGCTTTATTCCTAAAACATAAATCTCTATCCCCAAAATCAGTGTTTTCCTACAATATTCTTCATGACAATATTACTCAAATGACAACATGAACTCTTCTCCTGGGGAGTGTAATCATTACCTGGACTTGATGTGTATTCATGTTTGTCTGCTGGGGGGGAAATAGTCTGTACAAAATGAGCAAGTAAAAACAGTCATTAGGCCGCAGTGTTCTCCCAGTGTATTTACCACAGGTTAAATGGTGACCGACACAGAACATTGCATTCATAAACACACGGCCGATTGAGAAAGTTAGACGTGTTGCGTGTTCTGGGAAATCTCCAGATATGCTCACCACCTGTGATGACCTGATACTCGCTGGACCCATGACTAAACACTTTGAGAGACGAGCGGTTTCTTTCTCATCCGCTGAGGAATTCACCTCCCGGGCACCAATCACAGTGTTATTATATTCGCCCATCTTGTAATCATTTTGTCCAAATATTATGAATCAACTGCATAGCTGTGTATAATAAAAACTGCTGATTATTTTGGTGACATTTGGCGAGAATGCAGGAACAACAATTGAGTTAGAAGTCAAAATGTATAAGGCGTATTGCGTTGTTTTAACATTTTTAAAGAGGTCATTTTATGCTTTTTAGGGTTTCCCTTTCCTGTTGTGTGTTATAGGTTGTGGTGCATGTAAATGGTCTGCAACATCCTAAAATCCCTCTGTTCCCTCCAGGAGTTTCTAATTTCCCCCTGCATAATATTCACTATCTGGTGCCTCAGCAGCAGTTTACTTTTAAGTTAATTCTCTCATTTATTTTTCTATGATTTTGGCCGCTACACCTTTGTTTACTTCCTGAACATAGTGACATCACTATGTTACGCTTCTATTGGCTAGCCCTCCAACACATTGTACATGACATCTCTAAGCGGTTGCCCAATCACAACAGAGCCGGCCAGCTAACCAATCAGAGCAGACTGGGCTCTGGTTTCAGACAGAGGGTGAAAAGAGGTGCTGCAGCACAGGCAGTATGAGAACAATATGGAGACATGTCCCAGTAGAGACACTACATTCTGATATGAACCTGAGCATTTGCAGAATATGGCCTCTTTAAGGAAGCTTATTTTAAATGTGTGATACAGGAAGGAGTTGGAGGGAGATTTGAAGACATCCCTCAGGTCTGCTCTCACAGGGAACTACACAGAAAATAAATGCCATTGTTTCGTCACCAAGAGTGAGACATTTTAGTTCACATGCATTCAACCACAATAGTTTTTAACATTAGATTGAAGACCTACTGTAACCAGACCTCACTGAAACCAAAGACTGTGGTTTCAAACCCTGTCTTCCAGGTATCAAACTGCTCATGCGAATAATTGTCTTTTTACATAACATCCTCAGAAAATGACCCTTCTCTTTTCAGCTGAGCTCAGACAGCCACTGAAGCAACACCACACATAAAACCCCAAAGAACTTGAAGTTACGACCCACTAAAGCTTATGTAATTTTTAGATGTTATATAATTCGAGTATTGCTCAACAGTGTGGGTTAATGTAAAAACCAACATCTGCAAAATGTTGTGTCTTTGGTAATATGAAGAAAACCTGTTGAAACCTGCACCTGACGTGTGAGAAGCGTTTCAACACGTCTCTTTTCAACATGTTTGCATGTGTGTTTTGGGGAACCAACATTAGCAAGAGGCATGTAAGAGAGAGAGGACAAACTCTTTGTTTTAAAATTACTTTTATTCAAAGAAAAAAACCTTCAGGAAAATACATGACTTCCTGTCGTACACGGAGAGGACATAAGTTAGAGTAGCATGGAAGAAACAGCAGAGGAAAAACACGTTGCCTCACATCCAAGCCTGCAGCGAGCGTTACTGCATGTTTCCACGTGAAGCAGCGCTATGTGAATACCTGAAATGAACAACACGTGTGTTCTCTTATTGTTTTGTAAGTAGGTTATTAAGTGGGGAAGGGGGGGATGACGAAAGAAAAGAAAATATCCAGCAATAACCGGGCTCAAAAACAAAGAATTAAAGACTCGTATGCATTAAAACATAAATATCGTGATGCACATTAGTGTAACAAAACATTGCCTCTGTAAACATTTTCTCCACCTATGGTGAGCGTAATAATATTAAACCACCGCAGTCGCATAGTTACGTGTACATAGACTTACAGAAACGACAGAAACTATTGTTAAGCTTTCCGACTAGCTCTAAAACTTAAGAATACACAATGCTTCAAGTGATTTTTTTTTTTTAATGGATTTCCAAGTAGTGGTTTTCATAACAATAGGTTAACATGTTTTAAATGCTGCCCCCATGGCACGGTTCCAATGCAACTTTCAGACTTATCTCTCATCTTTTTTTTGTATTAATAAAAACCACAATTTTTTAAGAAGTCAATACAGCCATTCATCAAGGCTTTGATGCATAAGAGACACACACTGGGTAGTACTGCACACACACACACCTCAGACGACACAGCATTGAGGGATCAGAACTGCTTTTCTGTAAGAGGGCAGGTAACAGATTGACGGACCGTGCCCTCGTGTTTAAATGTCATCGTCAGGGGAAAGCACACCCTTTGTTTGTGACCCGACGTGTGTTGACATGAGGTGAGTTCACGTCATGTCAGATGAAACAGAGGAAAGTCCAGCCCGAAGGAGATCGATGCTGCCGTTTGCCGCCCAGTCTTTCACATATACACACAACTTAAATAACAGCTGGAGCAGGAAGTCGAGGGGGGGGGGTGGGGGGGGGGAAACAAAAAAGAGGGGTTCCTTCCCACGTAAAAGTGGGTTTCCGTCTCCGCAGACAGCCGTGAGGAGAAGTCCTGCTCCGTGGTGCTGGTTTCCCATCATCACAGGTACACTGACATCCAGAGTCTGAACAAAAAACCCTCCTCAGCTCTGCAAGGCATTTGGAAAAAGGCTCCCCCCCGCCCCCCCCCTCACACCACGGAAAATATCTACACCTGACGTAGAGGCTCCGCTGTTCTCAATTGTCTTTACTTGAAATTGAACATCTAGGATCACTTGTGACAAGATACAAAGCAAAAATAACATCATCTCATGCCTTGGACCACCACACAGTAATATACGTCTTTCTACATTCTTGACACTTAGTGCATTGCATTCATACAAATGGGAAATGATTTGAAATGAAAGATAGAAAATCCACAAAAACACTCCTCTGCTGACCATGCGTTTATCTCTCTGCCACCTAGAAAACATTTTGTCGATGACACTGAACTCTCCGACCTCACACGCATAACTCTCTCCTCTCCTTCGTCCACCATTAATATCTTTTTTTAAAATTGATATCTTGACTATTCACAGCAGTTTGAGTTCTCGAGTTGCACGAGGTGAGTATATGTAGTCATGTTTCATCCTGTTTAAAAACATGACACTATCTGGAAGATTCAATTAACTTTATTATACAGAGACACCTTTTTTATTTCAATAAATCTTTTGGACCACATCACTTTTCTTATTAGACAAACACACCTTGCACTTCTGAGGGTTCAGAGTAAAAGCAAGCTAACTGTGGGGTGGATGTGCGTAAATCTTAAAAAAACAAAACAAGGTAAAAGACATGTTTTACTCCACATAGATACACTTATCTTCAAGGAATAATAATAGTAATAATTGAAAAAATACTATTCTGAAATCCATCTGCTTCGGCGTTTTCTCTCTCTTTATCACCCTCCTTTTTTAAAAGCACCTGTCCAAACAACACAATACTTGAACGACACACACACACACACCCACCTGTCGAGTCCCATCCATCAGACTTACAGTACTACCTCAAATATTTACTCTCCAGTCCCACTTGCTCCGGGTTTTTTTACAAGTTTCCCCCAGGCTGACCGTCTCCACCTCTAACCAGCATGTCAGCAGTAATTGGACCAAACAGAAGTACATTTACACACACTACTGTAGTATTAATACAACAGACTGCCACCCTACCGGCCTCTTAAACACTCACATGAAAGAGCGAAGGGGGGGGGATTTCTTAAAGACAGAAGGTAGTAGCATTACAAGTGGTACTAGTAGGTAGAAGACCTCCAGATTACTGACCAGCCCAGGAGAAAGGATGTAGCGTAAAAAAAAAGAAGAAATCCCATCGCACCATAAAACGGAGAGGGAAACCAAAAGTAGTTAACCCCCTTTTTTTCTTAAATTCACATTAATATATTTCTACTTTCATTCATATATCTGATAATCATTTATGTCGTCACTTCAGGCGTCGCAGGCGGCCCCGGAGCTCGGCTGCTGCTCCGGAGGAAAGGTGAAGTCTTTGTTGTTGACACTGGAGAAAAAAGGGCTGGTTGCTCGTGGGTTTTTGTTCTGGTTTGGTTTGTCCGAAGGGCTGAAAAGACATCGACCGTGGGTTCTGAGATCCAGTGTTAGCGAGGGAGGAGGGAGAGGAAAATAAGTGGACCTCTACCAGCTGAGCAGGTTGCTGCGGCCCAGAGTCATAAAGTAGACCTGGCTGGAGCCTCCGGACCGAACGGAGGCGAAGAACACCTGAAGGAGAAAGATGGAGGTTTTAGATTCAAAGGTTTTATTGTCATGTGCTCAAAGCTACAGTGTAGAAATGGCAATACAATTCTTCTGACGAGGCCTGTACTACGAAGCCGGATTTTCGCTTAGCCGGCTGACTTCAGGGAAAACTCGGGCTTTCCGGTCCTACGACGCTGGTTCTCTTTTTAGCGGGCTAGATCTCCATGGTAACTTATGCTGAGCGGCAAACCTCCTCGGGAGGAGGTTAGGTTGCAGGCTAAGAGATCAACTCAGTGAAAGCACCGCCTGCTGACCAATCAGAGCTCCGTGTGCGGAGTTTAAAGCGATCAAGTCATATTACAGGATAGAGGAAATACAGAAAAACTGCCGTTGCAGGAAAGACGGCCGGCCAAAATCAACTGACTGTGTGAACGTGAAAATTAATAGAATATCCCCTCCCATCTTCAGAGCAATCTGACTATTATAACATTAGCGTTAAGAAAGCTTACTTAAATATCTGCCACGACATAAGTAACCGGATCAGAGTAACATTAAGTACAGTCCGCGGCACTGTGAGTGCAGACGTCGATGTGTCCCATATCATTCATATCATATCACATCATAATGTATCATATATTTCCTTATTTGAGTCAGCTTCTTGAGCCGTATCTGGCCGTGCAACACTCACAGTGTCACATACTGTATGCAGAAGTATTATTTTAAGCAACACATTAAGTTGACGAAACACTCGAGTCAAATTCTCCTAATTAAAGTCAGATCCACTCGTGTCTTGGACGGGGCAGTGATTTCATAAACCTGTTAATGTACGCATTCAAACACTTTTTCTTTTACCAGCTGTATTCACCTTGCAGGTGCAGCTATGTGGCTTTTATCCTGGATAAAGTGTTTAAGTCATGGATGTTTAAAGTTTAACTTCTTCATATTTGACTAATATTAAAGTTCACTTTTCATTCAGGAAGTATGACGCTGCGCTGTCAGTACGCTTCTCCGTGTTTGTGATTGGTCGAATGCTCCAAATACCACCCCTTTCATGTGAACGCGCACCTAACTAGATAGGACACGGCTGGCTTGAGCGATCCACTTGATAACCAGCGTCGTAGTACAGCTTAGCGAGAGCGCGTATGTTTTGGATTGGGCCAACCGGCTAACTCCAACATATCCAGGTTAGGAAAATCCGGCTTCGTAGTACAGGCCTCTGAGCTCCTCCAACAATGCATCATATATAATAAAATACAAAAATACAAAATAAAAAGTAGTGCAAAAAGTCTATATACATGTCTATAGAATATGGGATATGTACAAGAACAGAATATGAATATAAATAATGTAAATTAAGAAAAAAAATAAATACGGTTTATTGCGGTGATAACTATTTATATAAATTAGCATATTGCAAGATGACAACTTTTTACTTAATTAGGTGCAATCATCTGTCATTATTCACTCAGCTGCAGTTTGAGTTTAAACAGGAAACCTCCCAGTTACTCCCATGTCCTGGGTTGGGAGGGTTAATGCTGTTACAGTTACTAGTTATCTGTAAAATATATATATTGACAACTTATCCTCAGAATCCTAATCAATGACAAGTGGACTAAGACACTTTTCTGGAAATGAAACTCGTTGTATATGCTACAGTACCCAAAAGCTCTCATCATTTCCCATTCAGGCACCGCTAAAGAACCACAGAGGAAAGAACAATTGTTCTCGTATGTCCAAACAGACCTGAAAAGTGGGTTAAAGGGAGAAGAGAAACTAGAGCAGGTACTTCCACAACTCTCAGAGCTGAGCAAAAGAAAGTGACTGTAATAAGACAACGGTGTCACAGCTGTGTCCTCTCAAATGTCCTAAACAAATATATGAAAGCACAAGCAGATAATAAAACCCAAGGGGGCGAAACTAGCCTGTCAACAGCGGTGGTACGTTGTCAACATATTGCTGATAGTGTATTTTTGGTGAGATGCCTTTCTGCCAAAAAAAAGGGCACTATGTGGACACAGGCCCAACGCTGAACAGTAACTTATCCCACTGTACAGGATGTGTTGTTGACTGTCTCACCTTGTCGTTTCTCTCACAGAGGAACTTGAGTCTCTGGGCTCTCTTGTGCATGAAGACGCCGTCCAGATGTCCCGTCTCCACCGAGCGGATCTCGATGGCCTTCTCCCCCCAACCCATGATCTGGTTGGAGCGGATGTAGGCTGCAAAAAGGTATTTAGGTTAACCAATCGATATACTGATGCTCCGATGCCTTTCAAGTGTGTGTGTGTGTGTGTGTGTGTGTGTGAGAGAGAGTGTGTGTGTTTACAGTGCAGCTGTAGGGCGAATGATCAATGTTCGAGGTTGTGTGGGTGAAATACAATAGCTGTTAGCATGTGTTAGCTAATGATTAATCAATGATGAGCAATACATCGGGGAACATTTCATCATAAACTGTAAGGTGTGCAGAGATGGCAAAAGTACACACATCTTTACTAGAAGTACAGACACTCGTGTTTAAAAATACTCTGGTGAAAGTAGAAGTACTGACTAAACTTCTTTACTCAAGTGAAAGTAAAGAAGTATGGGCTTTGAAATGTACTTAAGTAAAAAGTACCCATAACTAGCAGCTGTTTTAAAGAGTACCTGACCTCCCTTTATATTAATAGAACAATAATGTCATTGTTAGCTCATGAATGTTTCCATGCTGAACAACGGCAACATGACAACGTTTTCATTGGTCCCTCTTCTTTAGAGAAGACCAGGAAATGATGGATACACGGATCGTGTTCAAATCAATAGGCACGCAATGACTCTAAATAATAATGATCACGCCACCAAACACACATTCAAACTAAAGGAACCAGCCTGTTTGGAAAATGTAAGAAGTAGAAAGTACAGGTATTTGGGTTCAACATGTAAGAAGTAGAAAGTACAGGTATTTGTGTTCAAATGTAAGAAGTAGAAAGTACAGGTATTTGTGTTCAAAATGTAAGAAGTAGAAAGTACAGGTATTTGTGTTCAAAATGTAAGAAGTAGAAAGTACAGGTATTTGTGTTCAACATGTAAGAAGTAGAAAGTACAGGTATTTGTGTTCAACATGTAAGAAGTAGAAAGTACAGGTGTTTGTGTTCAACATGTAAGAAGTAGAAAGTACAGGTATTTGGGTTCAACATGTAAGAAGTAGAAAGTACAGGTGTTTGTGTTCAACATGTAAGAAGTAGAAAGTACAGGTGTTTGTGTTCAACATGTAAGAAGTAGAAAGTACAGGTGTTTGTGTTCAACATGTAAGAAGTAGAAAGTACAGGTGTTTGTGTTCAAAATGTAAGAAGTAGAAAGTACAGGTGTTTGTGTTCAACATGTAAGAAGTAGAAAGTACAGGTATTTGTGTTCAAAATGGAAGAAGTAGAAAGTACAGGTGTTTGTGTTCAACATGTAAGAAGTAGAAAGTACAGGTGTTTGTGTAACTTGTGCCCCCCTGCGACTCACCCACGGAGGTCGGCATCTCGCCCCACTGCAGCACCACGTCTTTGGTGATGCGTCCGTACGTGTTGACATAGACTCCTTCGTCCTCGTAGCACACCAGCAGCTCGATGCCGTCGGTGTTGGGCAGGATGATGATGGCGTGAGACTGGATGTGGGTCTGGATCTGCAGAAACAGAAAACAACATGGTGTCTGGTGATGAGTTTTATCTGGGAAAATGTGTGATTTTATTACAATGCACCTTTGGCATTCATGATCAACTTCAGCAGAGGATTATGTAAGATATGGATCCTTTTATAATTTAGACGCTACAATGGGAAACTCTACGGACGAGGATTAGGGCAGGGACAAGGACAAGTGACATTTATTTGGAGATCTGACCAAATGTGATGTTCTTCTTCTGATAGAATTATTTTGAGACTTTCAGGAAAAAAAAGAAATATTTTCTAAGAATTTTTACTTTTTTCTCAGATGTATATTTTTTTAATGTCTCAGATTTTGACATTTTTCTCAGAATTCTCATATTTTGAGAATTAAATAAATATATTTGTTTTTTCTGAAATTTGACTTTTTTTTTTATTGAGATTTTCAGGATTTTTTTATTTATTTCTCGGAATGTCACATTTTTATCATGGATTCTGATACTTTGAGAATAGTTATTATTATTTCTCAGAAGTCAGACTTTAACCCAGAACCCAGAAATGATTGTCTTCTGAAACCTCCTTTGAAGGGACATGTGTGTGTACATAATGCATGCGTGTTCTTACGTGTGTGGGCAGGTAGATGTCATACACGGCCCCAGAGTCGACGTCCACGGCGTGGAAGCCTGAAGCTGAGCCGTAGATGACCTTTAACCTCTGACCCTCCTCCACGGTCAGGTCCACCAGCAGGGGCTTGTGCACCAGGTCACCGAAAGACTGAGAATCACACAGGTCAGAAAAACAGCTCGAGCATCATGAGGGTAAATATTTGCCAGGGTGGAGGTTATCAGTATTGATAGCAAGCTGAACAACATCTGACCCTTTTGCAACAAACACAAAATGCTCTTTTTAGGTTTTTACTTGCATTGTAACCCTGCTAATAATCCCCAATTTGTATGATATGTACATATACATTATATTTTAATTTTACAGATAATAATTTTATCGTCAAATGTTTCAGGTTAATTCATGTGTCCCTGGTGTTTCTCTGCTGTTAAAAGGCCACTGCAGATTTAACATCAGCTGACTGCAATTTAAGATATTCTCCTTAAAGAGTATACACATCGCATGACAAGAGCTGGACATTTGTTAGGTATGGGGTTTCATTTCTCTACAGTGTGGCCCTATGGGTAACATTTAAGGCCAGTGGATTCTTCCTTTCCACTGACAGGCAAAGGTAATCAAAAAGACACAAGTTATGCGTCGGCAGCAAAACGTCATCTTAACAATCAAAAAGTCCACCGCCGTCTCACCAAGGCAAACAGCACCCTGCCATGGAATATAAGGCCCCGGCTCCACGGGAACGCATACGGCAAAACGCATCGGAGTAACGCAAACGCAAAAAAGCTTCCGCCCACACACAATATACACCGGATTGTGTCAAGCTCTACGAGACGGCTCCGTTTACATCCAACCGCTGGAAAAGCTGCAGTACATATGCCGAGCCTGTACGTGGCGCTGTAACTTCTTCCACAAAAGCAGCAACTTCCTCCACAAAAGCAGCGAAGAAGAATGGTTGTCATGGCTGCACTTCTGTTTATTCTCTGCGGTGGGGGCCGAGGGATCCGGGCAGAGTTTTTCGCCGGTCAACGTGTGTTGAAGTTGAAATCTTCCGGACAAAATTATAAAAGTGCCGGTCAAAGGTCTTCATTGTTATTTATTGAGCTTTAAAACAAATGAATAACGACTCTATATAATGATATATAATAATAAAATACACGGAGGCTGTCTCTTTTTCCTCTCTTCTCACAGCGTCAGTGTCTGTCTCATGCAGCAGCTGATCCAGTAATGATGACTCGACAGTAAAAATAAACATATTTATAACTAGTTTAGGTAGTTTGAGAGGTAATTAAAATAGCTAAGGGTGATGATCTGACTTGAAGTGTGTGTTTTGCTCCCGCTGCATCACAGTGGGAGGAGCTGCGTGTCTCCGTCCTGTCAGATTAGACTTCACTCGCGTTTATGTCCATATCGAGATAAAGATAAATAATCTGAATTCAGTGTGCAGTGTACTTTTGCGGGGGTGAGCAGCAGAGGTGGGGAGAGGCGGGGAGAGGTGGGGAGAGGCGGGGCTATTGCGTCGTCATTATCAGAAACGGATGACCGTATAGGCTACCACACGGCCCCGTTGGACCCCCCAGAGCGCTCCGTTCCCAGATCTATCCACCTTTGGACCCGTTGTCGTTTGCAGGGTCTGTTTCTACGTTTCCGTTACGGCGTCGTCTAGCTTAAGGGGCTATACGCATGAGAAATATGCGGATTCAACCCGTTTTCGTTCCCGTGGAGCCTAGGCCTAAATCAGTGGCTCATCATGTAATCCCTGTTGTATCCGTTACTCCCCAACCCTGTCCCTCACACACACTAAAGATCCCACTCCCCAAACTGTCATTACAGATGTAGTGCTCATGTGTTTGTTGTCAAAGCACACAGCTGAGCGAGGCGTTGACTCACCTTGAAGGCCATGAACTTGTGGTAGGGTTTGGGGGCCCAGGCGTAGACCTCCACCGAGTTCTTCAGAGCGAGAACCAAGAACTTGATCCTCTCATATTTCACTGGGGAGCAGAAGACACAAACAAACATTAGAATAATAAAAAAAGGCATGAGAGTGAGGAACTAGCATCAGCTGCACACAGGATCTGATGCTGATGACTGTTTTAGCAACTTTGGTGGCTCATCCATCATCATGGCCAGGTGCGTGATCAGGTAGTCCCTGCAGGTCATTAACCCTTATGTTGTGTTCGGGTCTCGCGTTTCAAGTTAAAATGATATAATAACTACGCTCTAGTTTTTTGTATCGGAACAAGGCTTCATGATATCCTCCACAACAGATATATAAACACTACAAAACTGATTTTGACCATTTTAGCCAAGTCTGAAAGTCTCTAAAAAAAAAAGTGTATAATTTGGTGTTCGGGTCTGGGGAGACCCAGCAGAATTGTTTTGGGTCAGTCGGGGTCAGATTTGGCCATCTTTGACTTTAGACACCCCTCCCCCACCCCCTTCATCCACTGTAACAATCATTTTTCGCAACATGCACCTGGTCTCCCCTCCATCTTCCCCCCTCCCCCCACAGGAACTCGACGTTTCTCAAAGAATATGTACACTAACACTTGAACCTGAACTCACATATGCACGTGGGCAATATGAGGTGTGATGTGTTTTGGGGCCATAAAATAAAATGACAACAGGATTGTACGGTTATGAATGCATTATAAGTTAGTTATGATGTAGTTAAAACAATATTGGATGATAGTCATTTTTTGTGTGTGTTTTGGATTGAAATAAATCATGGGTAAAAATTGACCCGCGAACACCATGAAGGGTAACAGCTTTCGAACACAACACAAGGGTTAAGAAAACAAGTTAATTATATAATCTGGGATATAAATGTATACTTTTCTGTAACTATAACGGGATTTAAAAGGACAAGAAGAGTGTTCAACTTTAAGCAATTTTTAATTTAGAAATGTGTCTCAGTTTTGAAAATGTCCCTACAGTACATCGCTGCTCCTTGACCAAACATCTGTCGAAAAAAACATTTTATATGTATATATTTAAAGTGTTTTAAGTATATAATATAACACTTGGATGTGTCTAAATGTGCAGAAAACTCAACCAAGATGTCACAGAACAGTTGGGGCGCTTTGTCCGAATATTTCACAAAAACAGATTTAAAATGTGTTTTCTTTGGAAAGTCCTTTACTTCCCAAAAATGTGCCAACTTGCATAAAACTTAAATCTGACACAAAATCGATTCACACTATAAAATAAAACTTCCTCGACAGGAAATGGATTTCATGTCTGCTCTGAAGAGGAGTTTCCAACAGGAAGTGCCGATCAGCGCCACCATCACTAAGGACATTCTGAGCTGTAGACAGGTCGTTGTGTCCACTCAGTCGCCCTCGCTGCATTATTACTTCATCGAGGGCTTTCCTTCCATCCTTATCTTCTGAAATCCCTAACATTTTTAAACAGGCTGCGGCTGAAGCAGTGTGCTGCTCTTCAAAACAGTCAATCATAGTGAACGGATGGTCATTATAAGTAAGGTACAAATAAAACAGTATCACACAAATGCCTGGTTAGTGTCGCCTGACTTTATATATATGTGTTTTTTATAATGTGTGGTTGCATTCAACTTTATTCTCTCTCCATGAATTGTTATTGCTACGGTTAATTTCGCCACAGCCTACGACGTAATAATAATAATAGATGACATTTGTAAAGCGCCTTTCAAGGGACCCAAGGCCGCTTTACATGGTGAACAAACAAAAGGGGCAAATAATAAAGTCAAAAATGTAATAAATAGCAGTAGGAGTGGAAGCAGGGGGACTGTGATGGGTTAGGGGTCAAAGGCCATGGTGAACAGGTGAGGTTTTAATGATGACGTAAGCCTGAGAGTTCAGAGGAAAATGTCATAATCCTGACTAAAAATTCGAGGAACACTTTTGACTTTTTTCTCAGAATTCTAAGATCTTCAAGAAAAAGTAGATCATATTTTTTCGTATTACATTTTTTGGTACCAAATACGAACCAGTTTTTGGGGCCGGTTGTGGTGGAAAGAGGAATAAATGTTTCAAATATTTGTATTGAGAAGAAGCATACCAGTGTAAGCAATAGTTCAGACTTCTTTGGGGTGGTCAATCATGCTTCCCTTTTTCAACATAGAAGACGACTGTCACGATCTGTCTGTGTTGTGTTTTGTCTTGTCTTTTTCTGTCTCTGGTTCCTGTTTTGTTTTGAAATGTTTTCCTCCTTGTGTCTTCTCTGTTCCTTCTTCCTGTGTTTGCCTTCCTGTCTGAGGCCCAATCCCAAACCACTCCCTCGACCCTACCCCTCCGTGGCGGAGTGAACTCCGTCTGTAGCCACACTCGCAGCTCAACAAGGCTCCCTCCTGTCAGATGGAGGGAGTAAATACAGCGGCAAGCTTTGGGACAAACTCCCCTCTCTCCGGCAGAAACAGGAAATGCCGTAACTGTATGTAACAACGGTTTCAAATCAGCATCTCTTAGACAAAAAATGTAAATGAAGAACTCAAATAAAACTCCAAACATCTTTCACTTACTTTTTTGTAAAGCTCTTTTAGTTTTAAACCTGATGTTTATAAGCTTCTTAGTTTTTGCAACAGTCTGTAAATATACACAACTTTATAACAAAATGCACACATTTACCTTTTTCTAGACTAAACACAGGTATGATCCTAAGTTAAAAAAAATATGAGGTTATCATGAGGTTGTTAACATCGCAATTTATCAGTGGATGTTTGCTGGAACTGTTTGTAAACAGCGTGTTTCCTGACGGACACACACAGCATGACTCCGGTCAGGTAGAGACCGGTCTCAAGTCAGCACCGATGCAGACTCGCTGTTTGAGGGCTTGATAGCCCACTCCCCCTCCACCCCGCTCCACACTCGTTGGTTTGGAACAGCACTTAATGTGGCGGACCCTCCGCGCGAACGCGCAAACGGAGGGGTAGTGTGTAGGGATAGGGTGTAGGGGGCGGTTTGGGATTGGGCCTTAGTTTCCCTGGTGTGTCTGATTGTTTGATTGTGTTCACCTGTTGCCCTTGTGTTTCTGCCTCCCTTACCCCAGCTGTGTCTCGTCTTGTGATTACCCCTCTCTGTATTTAGTCTTGTCTCTTCCTGTGTTCCCCTGTCGGTTCATTGTTTGTTTCTCCTGTCTCCCACCATGTTGGTCACGGTCAGTTTTCTATAGAACCTATGTGTTTCATGCCATGCTATTGTTCAGCTTTAGAATAAAGCTCGTTTTTGTTTCGAGACCGTTTACCTTTTCTGATAGTCTGCATTTGGGTCCTACCCTTCCACGCATCCTTACAACGACGACAAGAAATAATAAAGAAAAAACATAGTGTGACAGGAATACCATACTTAATGACATACACAGTCATAGTGGAAAGAGGAATAACTGGTTTACACTCGGGCACTAGCTCTGAACTTGACCTACAACCGGTTTTGGTGGAAAAGGGTTCTCAGTATTCTAAGATTTTCAAGAAAGAATAGATCGTTTTTTTTCTCAAAAGTCAGAATTAGTCAGACATTCTTGACCAACAGTTTTTTGGTTCAAAATACGAACCAGTTTTGGGGGCCAGCTCACGGTAGAAACAGGAAGAACTTGTTTGCATTCGGGCACTACCTCCAAACTGTACCTAGAACCAGTTTTGGTGGAAAAGGGGTGAGAACGTGATCTTACCGACGTTGTAGTGCACGCAGCCCTCCAGGTCGCCCACGGTGGTCCAGCCCTGCTTCTTCTCCACCTCGGGGTCGTTGTGCAGGATCTTGTTCCTCAGCCAGGACAGGTAGTAAACACGGAGCTTGTTCTTCTTACCTGTCGTACATCAGAGAGGTCAAATAGGCGCTAAAATAAAGCTAAAGTCTCTCCTTTACGCCTGTTTTTAAGATAAGACGAGATAAGATACGAGTGAAACACAGGTCAGTACAGATAAGAATCCACGCAAGGATAATGAGAATAAAGTAAGTCTTTTGTAAAGGGTATATTCTATTGTGCATATTGTCAGTGTGTAAGGCCTTGAGGAAGGCTGCAGAAACACGTTGTATTCATAAAACTACAAGTGTAGCCACTAAAAATAGTTTTATTGGCTGCTGAGTTCTTGCAGAGATTATTATTACTATTCTAGTCTGCAATTATTGTCATGTGAAATGCATTTTAATTATATCATTTGAATCTTTACTGCTGCCATGATCAGTCTAAAATATAACAAATGAAAAACATTATTAGACGCTGCAGTGGGACTTTTCTGCCTCCTGAAGGTCTGCAGGGCTTTGCAACATTTCGGGACGTGCGGGTCATGTCGGGACAAACTAGCAATACATCGCCAGCAGTACCACTTTTAACTATTGTTCCATGTGATAATAATTTGAAAAAATATAAGTTGTAGGGTGATATAATAATGGTCTGAATATTAAAGAATATGCTAAGGTCCATGCCATTGTCATTATGAAGCAGGCTTCTACCTAATGGTTTTATCCAATTGAACAGTATGTACATCTCCTATAAGGTAATTGGACATAAAAGCAGATCTGTGCTTTAATTGGAATAATTAAAAAGGTGAGAGTGACACAAAATATGGCCTTTTATGTAAACATATACTCGTATCACCACTGTATATCCCAAGTGGAATCAATTCCTTTGTATAAATCTTGCAGGGTTTTACGATGATCCTTAAAAAGTCTTAAAAGGATGAAAATGCATCTAAAAAACGTCTTAATTTGTATTAAAATTAAATAAATCTTTCAAGGTTTTTGTGTGTATGACATGGGAAGATCAGTTTTATAAATAATATTTTTATTAATAATAATTATAATATTTATTTGATTTAAAAATGTGTTTATAAATTCATTATTATAAAATTAAAAAAAGTTTTAAAAGGAAAAATAAATACAAAGTAATAATTATTAATATAATATATATAAAATCGGTATAATCTATTTAAAAAACAAAAACAAATGCCGCTCTCAACACCATCACTAAGACCCGAAAATCTCAGTATTTTATTGTAAAATTGATCTTCAATGTTATTCTCAGTGGCATTGAAAACGTCTTACGTCTGATGTTGTTGTTCTGCTTCCTCTCAAACATGTGTACAGTCATTCTTTAGCTTCTCAATCAGTGACAATATTTCCATGATGCAAATGTTTACATATTGGCACCGCAATCAAACTATGACATGGAAGGAGGTGTTCCTCTGCGAGATTTCCTTCCATGGAAAGCTCAAAGTGTGTGTCAGCGTTACATATTGTAGACACACACGACACAGTCACAGAGCTGAGATTTACTCAACATCCGTTTAGCTCAAAATATCTGTTGTGACACAGCGTGCCTGCCGTGTGAGCGCCACGTTGAGAAAGAGGAGAAGTAGCAGCGTGATAGCACTTTCAATCTGAGAAACCTGAACCACATGTGCACAAATAATATTTATGCAACAGGAGACAGGGGTGGGAAGTAACTAAGAACATTTACTCAAGTACAATTCTGAGGTACTTGAGTATTTCCATGTTATGCTACTTTGTCCACTACATGTATTGAATACCTTTAGTTACTTCACAGATGTGGATGAATGATGTGAAATATAATCAAGTGTTAAATCAGACTTTAGTTCCACCTGGAGTAAATTCACAAGCTACCCTGCAGTATACAAAGTCATTCAAACTAGCTGCACCTTTACCAGCTTTGAGAACACTTTCATGATCAATCATTATAAAACATATCATATATATTATTCTGAAATGGACCAATCTGCACAATGACTACTTTTACTGTCGCTACTTTAACTATATTTTGATGATAATACTTTTCTACTTTTACTTGAGGAACATTTTGAATGCAGGACTTTTACTGTAACAGAGTATTCCTACACTCTGGTACTTCTACTTTTACTCAAGTACAAGATCTGAATACTTCTATTTTTACTCAAGTACAAGATCTGAGTACTTCTACTTTTACTCAAGTACAAGATCTGAGTACTTCTCCCACCTCTGGTTGGATGGGGCAGTGTGTGTTTGCAGGTGTGTGTTTGCAGGTGTGTGGTGTGTGTGTGTGTGTGTGTGTGTGTGTGTGTGTGTGTGTGTGTGTGTGTGTGTGTGTGTGTGTGTGTGTGTGTGTGTGTGTGTGTGTGTGTGTGTGTGTGTGTGTGTGTGTGTGTGTGTGTGTGTGTGTGTGTGTGTGTGTGTGTGTGTGTGTGTGTGTGTGTGTGTACAATCCAGGAAGAGAGGAAGACCAATCATTTCAACATGACAGTGTGCTATAAGCTGCTACAGCAGGATGAACAGAAGTGAAACCGTTTTATTAGTCTCATAATTAACTATAATAGTATATATCTCTGTGTGTTTCTTATTTTCTCTACACAAGCGTTTGAATACATTTCTACATTTGTGTGTGTTTAAGTGCATCAGATAGATCAATTCTTTATCGCAGTGGGAGTAATTTGGCTGCATTAAATGTAATAAAACAATCTTTAAATGTGTGTGTACTGAGGTCTCTCTCTGTGTGTGTGTGTGTGTGTGTGTGTGTGTGTGTGTGTGTGTGTGTGTACCTGATATAGTGACCAGGACATTGAGGCCCTCCAGGACGTCCATCTGCTGGAAGCGTCGTCGGCTGATCAGAGGGTAAACTTTCCCCTGACCGCTGCGATCCAACAGCATCAGACCGCTCTCTGTGCCCACCAGCAGGTTCACTCCTACACACACACACACACACACACACACACACACACACACACACACACACACACACACACACACACACACACACACACACACACACACACACACACACACACACACACACACACACACACACACACACACACACACACACACACACACACACACACACACACAGAAGATCAGCTTCACGGTACAGCTGGAGATCGAGCATCCAGTCTAGACAGTGTTCTGCAGTGTAATCAGTGATTTGCTGCCCCCAGGTGGTGAAGACTTCACTGCATTTAGTTTACACATTATTATTATATACATATATATACACAGTGCAAATAAGCACACAGAAGACCTATACACATTAGGTCTGAATACACACATGCACAAACACATGCATTGTTATGGAGAGGTGTTGGAGAAAATAGACTAGTTAACTTTATTCATCAAAATGTGGGAAATTATTTTGTTACATCAGCATGTAAAAAAAAGTAATTGCACCTGACTTAAGGATACAATACTCAAAGTTAATATATATATATATGTATGTTAACAATAGAAAGATATATAGCCATGATCTAGAGCAGGGGTCGGCAACCCCTGGCACGCGTGCCAGTGCAGCCCCGCTCTGTTTAACTCCAGGTGACTTTCTGCCGCTTTCCTCCGTGGTGCAGGGCTGATCGTTTCACCACGGAGGAAAGCACAAATTGCAGTACCCATAAGGAGCTTTACAAATGCCGCAGTTTTTGCGTGGCTGTGTGTGTCTTTAGTTGAAAGCCCAGTGGCGATCTGCTCATCTCTCATTGAAATAATATGCTACAAAGGGGCGGACTGGCCATCTGTGTGTTGAACTTTCCTGTCGGCTCCCAGACCGTAGTCGAGGAGGGCAGAAGCAACAAGCTTCAGGTTCAATAACCCACTTTAGCTTAAATTACTGGAGAGAGGCGAGCTCTTCTTGGGAGGCCGTTGCATTTATTTAGCTGTTCTTCTGTTTCACAAAATACATCACAGACCTGTTTTTCTGCTGCCTCGTTTCACTTCCAGAAACATACACACACTCGCTCACTCTCTCTCTACCATCCACACACACACATGCACACGCCACACCCCTCTCTCTCTCTCTTAAAGGGACAGCGATCTCATCTCACTCTGCATGACCCTAATATCATAACATGTGTGTTCTGGAGAATCACAGAACGGACGATCGTCCTTATTATTATGCCGTTTAAACCAATTATTTAAATGTGTTTGTTAAATTCGGCATCATGTAAGTTGCGCTGACAGGTCCACATACTGCTTCCCCGCAGCGAGGCCCCCCCGCCCTCCTGTTGATAGTTCACGTGCGTCAAGCTCCTCAACCCCCCCCCCCCCCCGTTGATAATTCTCGATCGTTGGCACGCTGATAACAATTAATTTTTTTAATGGCACTTCATATCAAAAAGGTTGCCGACCCCTGATCTAGAGAGTGCACAATATACAAATATACAGAATAAGTTGCAGTAATAGTAAAGTAAGGCAGTAAAGTGTGTTTAAAGTAGAGGGGTCTGGTTGAAAAATGAAAGACATACCTTAAGACAAACAGACAAGCTTATTTAATATATATATATATATATATATATATATACTATAAAGTCACTAATAACCTGACCCATTGTGTAGTGAACAAGTCATAATTAGGGAATTCCCAACCTTTGATAATGATGGTAAAAGTGAAGGTTATTTATGATTTTCTTAATTGTATTTAATTTTTGTTTTATTATTCTGTTGGAATAAAGTGCTTTGTTTTCAATCACAAAGTCCTGTGCTTCTCTTTAATTTAGTGTTTAGTGTTTGTGTGTCTATAAATAAATAAAGTTAGGTTTGAATCCTCACCCCACAGTGCGGCACACAGGATCTCGGAGTTGAACCTCTTCTTGTATTTGCGGATCTCGGGCGTGTCGCTCTGCGGGCGGGTGTTGACGGGGTTCACGTTGACGACGGATCCTTTTCGGGAGGGGTCGGCCCGCAGAGCCTCCGCCAGCCGGGCGTCGTTAGCGTACCCTACAAGGTCAAAGGGAAGGTCAAAGGGAGGGGCTTAGGTGCAGGAAGTAGAATTCAGTCAAAGTCAACTTTATTGTCAATCTTTTGGTTTGTGTGTATTCTGTATTTGTGTCATTGTGTTATGCACATTTTGTATTTCCAGGTGTATATTTTCCCACATGTATATATATATTTCCATCCATCCATCCATCTTCTCCCGCTTATCCGTGGTCGGGTCGCGGAGGTAGCAGTTCCAGCAGAGAGCCCCAAACTTTCCTTTCCCTGGCCACATCAATATATATATATATACACTTTTTAATGCTATTTTAATGCTATTTCTGACATATTTTGGACTGTTTATTTCTTGTGTCTTAATTTCTCTTATGTAAATAGATTCCTTTAAGTTCAATTGTGTAGGTTCTTTACCCCTGTTCGCTCCGGAGGAACCCATTTTTCAAAGTTTGCTTCAATAGCCACAGCTTTAAAGTGTGATTTTAAGCTTAAAACCACCAAATAACAACTGGTGATCGGTCAAAAACACAAGATTGTGTTTTCCATCTTAATCTTTGTTAGTTAGTCAGTTTCGTAACGGACGTAATGTAACAGCTGTAACGGTTGTAGCTTTTCTCAGACGTGGAGGAATACATGACTTGTGAAAAGTAACTACAATTCTACCCGTGATATACGCTCATTATATCACGGCTAAGAACCAATCAGATTGCTTGATTTGACTTGTCCGTTTTATAAAAGAGCAGTATCTCACCACTTGTAGTCTCTAGCTTGATATTTTTAAATTAAATTAGATATGTTTTTAGGGCGACTTTACAACATTTGTCCAGGAACTACAGGTGAAAAATGGCCTCTTGGCTAACTGACGCATTAACAGAAATGTATATTAAAGAGGACATATTGTTCTGTTACTGTGACATGTTTCCATGCTTTAAGGTTCAAAAAAGGACTTTATTTTTTAGGGAACTTTGGGATTTTAGCCTTTGCAGACCGTTTACATGCACAAAAACCACTAGAAGAAAGGGAGACCCCCAAAAAGCATAACAGGGGCTTCTATAACTTCAGATTTTCTGGTAATTGGTGGTCCTGAGCTGCATATGAAAACATGTTCAACACACACAAAACAGCTTTTGTAGCTTCCTCTAGTTCTTGATCTTTAGATGGGAAGCTTTTGAAGGATAAGACGTTTTAAAAAATGTCCTAAAACTCTTAGTGTTTGTGAACTTTTGGTATTGTTTACACAGCAGCTAGTGGGGGGGGGCGGGACTTACCGATGTTGTTGAGGGCGCTGCCGGTAGAGGTGGAGACCTGCAGGAGGCGGGGGTCGATGAACGGAGTGAAGGAGGAAGAAGACTTGTGTTTCTGCATGTTGTTACTGGACTGGCTCTACAGCGAGAGAACACAGGATTTAGTGGTGACAGAACATCAACTCTCTGTATAACCATCAGAAACATATTTACAGAATGAGTTGCTTGCAGATAAACAATAATGTAACCAATCAACAAGACAATGCAGTCAAACTGAGGGTTTTTTCATGCAAATACAATGGGCATTCAAGTGGAGGGTAAAATATAAATACTGTGGAAACGGGCAGAAACAATGGAGGGTAAAACATATGGAATATATTGTGTTGACAAAAAGAAAAATAGGGGAAACAACATCAAAGTATTTCCATGGGAAACATACTTGCCGTTGAGCTCCTAACTGATCTACTGTCTGGGGAATGTGAGAATATGACTCGTTGGCTAAAAATAGTCAACAACAAGGAATAAAATGAGATTTAGATGTTTGGTGGGAATGCTTCTGAAACCACAGCTGACCTCAGAGGACACGTTAGAAAAAAACCAGATCTAGCATGTCTGTTTGGATCATAAATAAAATATTCACAGAGGAGCGATGGGACTACAGCTGAGTCGTTACCCGAAAGACGATTTGATGTAACAGGATGTTACCAGGGGAGACATCTTGGAAATAAAGTGCTTTTTTCTAAAGAATCGTACTTTCAAATGATCCCTAAAACCCCGCACACCACTCCAATACCAACATCTCTCTGCAGAAGCTCTATGTCAGCAGAGAGAACAAACGAGGGGCCATGAAGGGCTGGATAAAAAAAAAAATCACCAGTACCAGCAGAGGGCCTCAAAAACAGATGCAGGAGAAGACTCTTATCATCATGGCCGGTCAGAACTGAACAGAATGTAAATAGTTTTTTTTTAGATGATGAGAGCAGGGTCATCGTCAGCCCGCCCCCTTTCTGGTGAAAACACCTACGATTCCCTTTACTGTACTTCCACCAAAAAGAGGGCAGTGAAAGAATAGATCTGTGTCTTTAGGCCTCCACAGAGGACACACTAACATAAGGAGGACACAAGGACACAATGTTACACTTTTAAAAGTACATTACAAGAAAACTGGAGAGGCTGCTTTCTGCTTTTACTGTATATCGCCCCAAACTGAGGAACGGCCTCCCATTGGATCTTTTTTAAGTAAATTAAAGACCTATCTGTTTAATTTGGCTTATCATTTGTAGTAGTACCACTGTTCTTGTTTTAGTGTTTTATTGTTTTTAAATATTTTAATTATGTTCCTCATTTGTTATTGTGATTTTGTGTCATACTCTGTAAAGCACTTTGGGCTTCGTCAAGCATGAAAGGTGCTATATAAATAAAGTGTATTATTATTATTATTATAAAAATAATTAAAAAATGGTAGCGGCGGTCAGTCAATACGTCGCGTACCTGTGAGCAATACTTCATCACAGCTACATTATAATGCTAATGAGGTTAGTCCAGACTAGTTTCTACTGTACTGTGATCCCAGTTCTGGCAGCCATGATGATTGTCACTTCCTGTTCAAGACTTTACAAGAAACGTCCCCTTTCTGAAGCGAGAGTCCTGTCTGTTTTGGGGGGCTGGGGGCCACGTACCTCGATGAGGAGGGTGAGTTTATCCAGCGGACTCTGAGGGGACATGGCGGGGCTGGAGAGGCTGGAGGAGGAGGAGGGGGAGTTGGATGCAGAGGAGGAGGGGGAGGAATGGTGGCTCTGCTGGATCAGGTCTGGGAGGTGGTGAATGTGCCCAGAGAACCCGTTCCTGTCCGGGTGCTGAGTGGTGGGTAGATTGGGGTGATGGTGGTGGTGGTGATGGTGGTGATGATGGGGGGGGCTGGGGGTGTGCTGGCCGAGGCCCGGGCTGGACACGATGCCAGGGTGAGGGGCAAAGCCTGGGAGCGGGCCGGGGGTCTGAGCCCCTGTCTGACGCTTTCTGTGGTCACCTGCACTCTGGAAGTAGAAAGAGGGGCAGACTGTGGGTCTACATGTGATTCTGAGCAGCTGAGGCGAAGGGAAGGCGTTTGCTAGAGCGAAGGGCCGACTACAGTAGCTACTCTACAGGCGGAAGGAAAACTCTCGTTAGTCATTCGATTTTAAGATAAAATGATGGTCATTTAGTGCTGATTATCTGAACTTAAAGGTCACCTATTATGCAAAATCCACTTGTTCATGTCTCTTCTACATCAACATGTGTCCCCTCTGTGTAAAGAGACTCTGAAAGTTTCAGGAACAAAGATTCTCTCTCTTTTTATCCTGATCCATTTCTATAAAAACCTGTCTGAAAATGAGCTGATCAGATTTTGGCCACTTTATGATGTCATAACAATTTTTAGGGTTGTGTAACCATTAGCCAATCAGCAACCAAGGTAACCCCCCCCCACCTTATCACCTGAATCTCCTCCTAGAGCACCATTGTGTTCTTTTTAACCAAATCTCTGTCAGAGGGGCGTGGGGAGGGGCTCCTTATTTTCATCTAAAGTAACAGACAGAGAATCAGCACTTTTGAAACAGGGCTGAAACAGAGGGGATTATGGGTAATGCTGCAATGATCTGTTTGGTGTTTCAGCCAATCAGAGACAGGTTCTGTATATATCTGAGACCTGTAATATATTGATGAAGAACAGTATAATAGGGGGCCTTTAAGATAATATGATCATTTAGTGGTGTTTATCTGAACTTAACACATCTGATAACTGCAATTCTGATTAAATAACTTCAAAAACTAGTTGTTTTAAATGGATTGAAAACCATCAAGACCTAAATTAAAGTAAAAACAAATGTAGTTTATCCCCATTATTATATCAGCTATGGCTTTTATGTTAGCATGATTAAGTTGAAGTTGAATTATGAGTTGAAACGTTCGTTGCACGAGACCATGCAGTTGTTGATCGTGATGTTTTGTTACATTTTTGTTTCCTTTTATGTCTTGTCTTCAATATTTGTCCTTGTCGACGTTGCAAATGGAGCTGCTGTGATGCAATAACCATCTTAGACTTAATCTGCCAATAAAGTATTATCGTACTGTATATCCAATCTACGCTAATTCAGCTGCTCTCCACTGACCAGAAATCATACAACAACAGAATAAAATCAACACAACATAAAAACAAAAGGGGAAAACATTGGGGGTATGAATGAACAGAATACACAACAAAACAGCTGAAGGTGTGTGTGGTGAATGATGAAGGTGTGTGTCCTGTAGTTTTCCTCCGCGTTGGTACCTGTCTGACGATCAGAGTGCTGTCTTTGCAGGGCGTCGAGCCGGCGTCCTCGTCGTGAACGATCATGGTTTTCACCGACTCTGTCTCTCCATTGCTCAGCCTGGAAGAACTGCAGGGGAAAAGAAGATTTACAACACAAGCAATTGGGGGAAAATGTTTTTTTTAATGGAGGCGTTGAAAGATCAAGCGAGATCTAAAAGACTGTCTCTTACGGGCCGTCTCCACAGCAGCGTTAAAAAATCTTGAAACGCTTCTGCCCATTCACTTTGAATGGGGTGACGTCACTTTCCCTCACTTTTCGCCGGAATGCATTGTGGGCAGGCGAGCGGAGATTCTCAGGATTTTCAGGATTCAAAGTTGAGCAATGTTCAACTTTTGAAGCTGAGGTGGAAGCGTCAGCCAATCAAATCCCGTGTATGCAAATCTGACAGTTCAAGCTCTAGCCAATCAAACGGCGTGTATGCTGGGAGAGACATACCGCAGGTCATTCATATTCCAAAACATGGAGGAGAAATTAGCGGTAGCGAATCAATCACCCGGTGCTTTATGACCAGTCCCTATTTACCTACCGGGATATAAACCGGAAGAGCCAGGCATGGAGGGAGGTGGCAGAGACAGTGGTATGTTTTCGCCTGTTTTGGGGAGTTTATATCCAGTTTACTTCGGGCTTTTTGGCTTCGTATGTCGCGGGCGGGAGATTCATGTGATTGGTTGATCGCAAAAAAATCCCCAAGCCTCAGATACGCCCACCTCCAAGATTTTTTTAACGCTGCTGTGGAGACGGTCCGTTAAGATCAACATCTTTTTTAATTCCTTAATATATAATAAATAGTCTCTGAAACATTGGTATTTTTTCACAAGAGATTTCTTATAAAATGTTTTTTGTTTTTGCTTGTTATATATTTATTTTAAGTATCTGTTGTTTTAATAATCCTTAAAGGTCCCATGTCATGCTTTTCTGGTTATTACCCGTCCCCTTGTGTGTTATGAAGGTTTTTCTGCATGTAAACGGTCTGCAGAGTCACGAACCCTCAAAGTACACCCTATAGCGAGTAAAACTCTAACACAGAAAAGACCTGTCTATGCTGCCCCAGAACGCCTCGTTGGAGATTTCTCTTTTTCCATTGTTTACTTCTTGGGTATAGTGACGTATTTGGGTATAGTGACGTAACGTAACGTCTGCGGAGCCGTTACGTTTGGACCAATCCGCGGACTTCCTCACACACACACACACTCGGCAGGACGTTGCGAGGCTCGCTGCTGCGAGGAGCGGGACACTGTGAGCTGGCTCACTGGTGTGGGGTCGGCGAGACAGCGAGACACCGCGGAACTCAGCCTGGGCACACACACAAACTCCCAGCCAGGCTGCGGGTGTGTGTGTGTTTCGGGCTGGGTTTCGCTGTGTCTCGCTGTCTCGCTGACGGCCACTGGGCTCATAGGGAGGGGGGGGGGGGCAGGAGCTCCAACAAGCTGTTTGGAACAGAGAGTGAATACACATACTATACAGAGATGCTGTATGAGAAACCAATGTGAGTTTGGGAAATTGCACAATATACATGTATTTTAGTAGACCTCAACAATGGAATTATGATCAGTAGAAATGGCCATGACATGGGACCTTTAAAGCCACAAAAAGCTGAAGGGACCAGTGCTGCATGTTCAAAATAGGACTTTAAAGCTACAAATTAGCACAGATGAAAACGTCTTTATATGTATGAATGAAAGTCATTTTACATTACTTGCCATATTTGTTATATTCAATTTTTGATTGTTTTAAATACCATATTTCTGAAACATTTGGTATTTGGTATTGTTATTCAATTATTTAAAATAAGTCATACAGTATGTAAAAAAAACACTTTGGGTTGGTGTTACGGCTGTATGTATTCCCTGTTTCTTTTTCCCTTTGGTTCCTCTACCCAGGTGTGCTGCATTGCTGTAACGAGGTTTAATGGTGGGGTTGTAATATTTCTTAAATCCACAAAAAGTTAAAGCAACTTCTGTCTCATTTTCAATATAGGACAAAAAAGCACAGATTAAAATACATTTACACCCTACTGAAAAAAATGACATTTTATCATTTTATATAACTTGCTAACACCTTATATAACAATACAACACATATTTCTTGACAACAAAAAAATAACAAGGCAAGAAAGACAATATTTAGTTCTTCTTACTTGCTTCTCAGGGCTTCAATAGATAAACAAATGTCAACAAATCCCTAAACTGATGACTAGTGCCACAAAGTGTGTGTGGGATCAGAGGTTAAAGTTGTACATACACAGCTTTGGAGTCCTCCGGGCCAGAGGTCGACTCTTCGCCGCCCTCCTGGTCCACCTCTTCATCATCATCTTCATCAGTGGTGTCTGAATCATCGCTGGAGGATGAATAATCTGTCACTTTATTGGGGGGGCGAACGTCATCCACTGCACGAAGCTCTTTGGCCAGAGCCGTCAGGTCCTAAAGGTCAGGAGGTGAGAGGTGAAAATGACTTCAACATTTTATCTCATCGATTGATGTCGATTCTGGGCATTTTATACACGCGCCGTTTGCTTAAATGTCACATTCGGTTAATCTTCCTTTGAAAGAAAGTTGCAGCCAGGAAACAGAAAGCTGCAGGAAAGGGAAGAGGGGTTATCACCAGCCAATGAGAAGCCAGCGTGAGAGCAGCAGAGCCGAGAGATGAGGCGAGGAAAGAGATGACTGTCGGACCTTCAAGCCACTGAAGGTAAGGTTAGTGAATTCATTTGAATAAAGCCACAGTTATTAGAAGCTTGAAACAAAGTAAATTGAGGTTAGAGAAGGCATGAGTTATAAGATGGCTGCCGCCCAGGCAGGAAGACCAGTGGAGAGAAAGCAAAGCCATAAATGCAGGAAACCCAAAGACTTCATTTCACCAAGTCACTCTATTGGATGAGGAGCCGATCACATGACACAGTCCAAACCAGCCAGTTTCATATCATTCACACAAGGAGATCAAGTCCAGTCCAGCTTTCGAACAAACCCAAACCACGTTATAATGACTACACACACACACACACACTACGTCTAACTCTACCCCTGCTATCGAGCTACAGCACTAGCTTTGAGTCTCACCGCCGGTCTGTTCTTCTTCTCCTCTGGTTTTTTCCCAGCATTCTCTGGCCGCAGGAGGGGAGAACCCTCTGATTTGGAGGAGGCTGAAGGAGGTGGAGGTGAAAAGATCAGTATATGACATGAAATGGCAAATTCCAAATGTGTATGCATGTTATCCATTGAACCTTGGCAATTCACTTTTTTTTTATTTTTTTATTGTAAGATGGTTGAGTTCATTTGAAGCTAATGTACCTGCAGTATAAATCAAATCAAACATTTTTGATACTAAATACCTTGATTTCTTATTTTCTAAGATCACATTGTTCTGTTGTCTTACATAATACACTTACAGTAAGTATCAAATAAGTATTGATATTTATTTTTTATCGTATTTATTTACATTGCATTTCATATTGGGGTAATCCAAAACTAACAAAGTAATCAGTTACTTTTATACTTTGTAACTTACGGACGACATTTTTTACAGGTAACTAAGTAGTAACCCCCTCCCAACCCTGTTTAACATTTTTATATTTTCACCAAGCTTGTGTTGCTCCTGTACAGCTAACTAGCTTTAGAAGTAGCCGTAAGATAATGGTGGTGTTTCATTTATTTTGTCCACCTCCTTATAATACACTTAAGTATCAAATAAGTATTGATATGTATTTTCTCTTTGCATTTGATATATGGGTAATCCAATCAGGTTGCTTTTATAATTTGAAACTCAGATTAGGTTCCTGATGAAATGTCTTTACAGGTAACTAGTATTCATAACAAAATACATTTTTAAAGTAACCCTCCCAACACTGTTGCTGTATGGTAATGGTGGTGTTTCGGTTATTTTGTCCACCTCCTGTAAGTGCTGATTGGTCAACATGTGTGTGTGTATGGACTCACAGCGGGCCCTGAACCTTTCTCCAGAGCCGCAGTGAGACCCGGGCTTAGAGCTGGAGTTACTGGAGCTGCTGGAGGAGCTGGAGCCTCCGCTGTTATTACCGGCCGTTCTGGGAACCAGTTTCTCCACGCGCTCCCACAGCAGCCGAGGCTCCGGCGCACTGCGGGGCCAACAGGCAACAGAGTTAGCGATGGAGACGCTGTAGAGACTTTTCCTACTATGTGATTTTTAAAACATTGGGTCGCTTTGTGCATGTGACACAGGTGTCACATGCACTTTAAATGTTCTGGAAAGTTCCTTATACAGCTTTGGCCTTGTTTTTATCAAGTGACACACACTGAACAGTCTGGTGGGTCATGGTCCAGGACATGTGATTTTGTGTTTCCATAACAACGTGTCCAAGATGTCCATGTGCCAGACTAACACATGTGACAGAACAAGCTACATTTGAAAAGCTTTTTTTTTGTTGCTAAAGATAAAATTCAAGCCATTTAAGAATTAAAATGTTTACATAACATGTCCTTTATTACATTTAACCTGTTGTGGAAACATTTCTTGATCAAATTGATATGAAACAAATGAGACAAACATCGCTGTGACACTGATGTCACATCGGGACTTTAACCCTAAACTTTCACAGTAAACCCAAAGTGACATATATGCACAATTAGAAATATTATTATGATCTGCTCAGTTAATTTAGCTGATTCAATTATATTGAGTTAATATGTTCTTATTCTTCAATTCAAAGAATGTTCAAACTAATTTAAACCAAAAAATCATCCTCATTAATTAAGTTATAAATAAGAGTTATTTTACCATTAAAGCCCAATGTGACATATATGTCACATTTCAGATATTTGACACTAGGGGTGGGTTCTTGTCAGAAATGTGTTCTAGGTGGTCCATTTAGTCTAAATTATGTTCCCCTTAATTTTCCCAAAAGTAGAAATGGGTCCGGGCTCTTATGGGTTAAAAAGTGAAGCAGAAATAATGCCTAATAATGGCCATTTAGATTATATTTAAAGTCACAAATGTGGCACAAATGTGCTAAATCGCTGCGAGTTGTAAAGTAAGAACAGACAATATTTTGTTCTTGAGAAAAACAAAGTACAGCACCCCAGGGAGTAAGATGCCACACAGAGACTCTCATGAGACGACTTAAGGCTTGCAAATAGAAAACTTTGCATGTGTGTTTGAGCACATTCACACACAGTTACAGGAATATCACAAGGTTAGACAGCTAGCTGTGTTACATAAACCCTCCCACACAACTCCATAAACAAAGAATATAGCAGCGCACAGTGGGGAGACTGGGTTCACTGATTTAACACACACACAATCCTCTTAACGTGTGTGTGTGTTAAATCCATCTCTGAACAAGGCAAGGGTTTGTTTTCGCAGTCTTTTTTGAAAGTTATTTTTGTATCTCTTTTATATTACATAGTTAAAAACAGCAGACTGGTTTCACACTGCTTCACACACTTAAACACTTTTCCTCTGAAGGCTGCAGACAAATTGACAAATTGACATTGACTGATCCAGCTCTATTTACAGCTGCTCCACTGATTTATTTTCGTCTGGAAATTAACTAAGTACATTTACAAAAGTGTTGTACTAAAATACTTTTTGATATATTTTTACTTTACTTATATCTTTCCATTTGATGCTACCTTTGACTTTTAACCTGCATCATTTTAGAAGTGAATATCGTACATTTTACTATATTTATTTTAACCCTCACAGTTACTTTGTACATATAAAAACATGTGATATGCTGATATGGTATCATGCAGTCCTGTACTGCTAAACTGTATTTCTAGTATCTCAACTACAACGCAATGAAAACAAAATGCTGTTACGTGTATAAAAACAGGATAAAATAAAAGCATCTTATACTTAAAACTGTGGAAAGATCCATTCAAAATACATTTAGCTGATAATACTTCTGTTCTTTATAGTATTCTGAAATGGGCCATTATGCAGGAGTACTTTCTGTACTTTAAGTACATTTTACTGCTAATACTTTTCTAGTTTAACTTAAGCAGAATTTTGAAATCACGACCTTTAATTGTAGTGGAGTATTTTAAGACCATAGTATTTGTACTTTCACTTAAGTTAAGGATCTGAGTACTTCTTCCAACACTGAAAGGCAGCGGAGTCCCACAGGGCAGTATCCTGGGTCCACTAAATAAATAAAGTGTTTTCATCCGCGAATGAATACGCATGTTAACAACTGTTTCGTATTTATATTGAAGAATCCCATACCAATACATGCTCATATTTGTATATCCTACATTTTTGATATTGCAAAAAAGACTTTTGTCAAACCTTGAAGAATTTACTTAACTGGTTCTTTATAAGTGTTGTACTAAGAATCATAAATGTTTTTAAAAAATCCAACAGATATCTATTATATCCATGCACACATCAGGCATGTTACCCTATTAAACTCCATTCCTACTTCCAAAGAGACACAGAATTAAAAGCACATCAGAGGCATCAGGTCTGTTACCTTGCAGCGGGACGGGGCACAGCATGGCTGCCGTGATGAGGCGAGTCTCGCCTTGACAACACCGGGGACCTTGAAGTAGTCCTTACAGGAACCTTGTTTGATAAAGACAGTGACCAGCTCACACGTAAACACACTTGTAATGGGCTTGTAAGTGCACCGAAAAAATTAAATACACACAAAAAATACGTGACTCTGCACATAAAACCTTCTGTAAAGACGTTGAAGTCGTAGCATCACAACAAGCCTCGTTGATACCATCGTGCTAAATGACTCCAGAGTAGTTGCTAACTCTTACGCTGCATTCATATTCACATTCAAACTCAAATTTGTTCAAGTCTTTTGCCTTAAGAGGGCCATTTTTGCAAAACAGGAATACCTGCTTGCAAAATCAAGAGACTACAGTACTTTATTTAACTTGTGCACCGTAAAACACAGGTTCTGTTCAAGTGTGCTCTACCAACTAAAGCCTTCATCTCCACCGACCACGACCCACAGCACCAATGTAAAACCAGGCCATCACACCCATAGCCTTAACTCCACAGCTTCCAAAGGTGCATGTACATTTAGTAAAGCCCAAGCAGAACATTTGGTAGCATCCAAAGCTCGATACAAGCACAGCAGAGCAGAAAGTCATTTCCAGTCACAGCAGCCATCATCATTTAGTATAGCATTAGCAGCCATTATTATGCTTTTTTTAGAAGAGGCAAAATGAAAAAGATGTGGACTGATGGTAATGACGAAATCCATCCTTCCTTAGTGACATGCTTCTCCTTTATTGCAAGACTAAAATGATTCTTGTGCAATTAACATTAACAATGTATTTTATGTCTTGACAGGGTTGTAGTTCAGCTTGGAAGTGTATAACACATGGTGTCTTTTACTAACTTTGGCTCTGTAAAATGAACATATATAAATAACTTCCCTACTCTTTAGGAGTCTGGCCACCCAAATGTGTGGGTTTACCACATTCACAGCCTTCCTGTCCATCCTATACTTAGCACGCTATACATTTAGGTGGAAAAACTGTGTTCTAAAAGCAGCTCTCTCTCCTCCTTTGGTAATTTTCTCTTCTTCTGTAGTTGTTTTAGGCCTTTTTGTGGCCGTGCAGACAAAATAAGTCTTGAGAGGGAAGATTAAGCAACATGAGACAGATTTTCTCAACTTCTTATCGTGTTACCGGCCACCCGGGGATGGATTCAACCCCCTGTTGTGTTTTATAATTAAAGCAAGCTACCTTTCTTTTTGTCATTAAAGATTCACATCCACAGAGGGACTTCCTTTCCCCTGGATATTCTGTATATCAGGGGAAAGAGATTCAGAACAATGTGTGATTTTCTCAGAAACGCTAAGGTAGCCCTTCTCTTTTCAGTATTTAGTCAATGTGGATTTAATTTAAAAAATTGATTACGCTCCTACAAGCTTTATTCTGCAAAATCCAATAAATGAATTAGTGGTAGGATAAAGAATAAAGTACTGAATTGAACAGTTCGGGATAATGACAGATTGATGTCTTGCAGAGGTGGGAAGTAGTGGAGTACAAATACTTTGTTTCTGGTATCAGTACTTTACTCCACTACTTATTTTTCTGACGACTTTTTACTTCTACTTCTTACATTTTGAACACAAATACCTGTACTTTCTACTTCTTACATTTTGAACACAAATACCTGTACTTTCTACTTCTTACATTTTCCAAACAGGCTGGTTCCTTTAGTTTGAATGTGTGTTTGGTGGCGTGATCATTATTATTTAGAGTCATTGCGTGCCTATTGATTTGAACACGATCCGTGTATCCATCATTTCCTGGTCTTCTCTAAAGAAGAGGGACCAATGAAAACGTTGTCATGTTGCCGTTGTTCAGCATGGAAACATTCATTAGCTAACAATGACATTATTGTTCTATTAATATAAAGGGAGGTCAGGTACTCTTTAAAACAGCTGCTAGTTATGGGTACTTTTTACTGAAGTACATTTCAAAGCCCATACTTCTTTACTTTTACTTGAGTAAAGAAGTTTAGTCAGTACTTCTACTTTTACCAGAGTATTTTTAAACACAAGTATCTGTACTTCTACTTGAGTAAAGGATGTGTGTACTTTTGCCATCTCATCTACTACTTCCAGACTACACCATCTTTTCGTCCCTGTCCTTACCCGGGGCGGCACCTCCTCTGAAGGGGCCGTTTCATTGGGCCTATGCTGGGGTTGGGGTTGGGGTTGTGGGTCAGTGCGTGCAGGCGTTGAAGATGATGATGGTGATGAAGATGGAGGGTGATGGTGGGGTTCCTGCTTGTTGTTGTTGTTGCGTAGGTGAAGGTTTTCAAAGCTAGAGGGGAGCGGCTCGCTGAAGGAGTGCGGCCGCGACACGAGAGGCGGGGCGGACGCGATGGAGTTTGACGAGTTCACGCTGCCGCTGCTCTTTAAAGCAGCCAGATGGGAACGGACCTTACGGACAACAAAAACACAGCGGGGGAGGAAGGGTCAGTCTGCATGCAGTGCATAAAAGAGAGGGGCTTCTGGGTATCTTTAGGGGTTTGTGTCAGATTTGAGCCATACAAGAGCCTACAACTGATCCCTGAGGAACGCCTACTGTAAGTGAAAGCTTCGGGAAGTCCACAGAATAGTGTTTGAGTTAAATTTTTAAAGCAAACACAGTTTTTTTTGTCTTATAAATCAGATATCAACCTACTGAATTCAAAATAAGATATGTAAAATAAAGAAGAATTAAAGGAAATTCAGGTAGTTTGTCTACCTATGCTATATTGTTTTTGTATCTTTTAAAGTGTATTGTAATGTTTTAATCCCGCGAGTAATCCCCTTTTTTAAATGTAACAGTAATCTGATGACACTTTTTTTAAGTAACTGTTAGTGAATACAGTGACTTTTTTTGTTGTATCTTGTAACATGTAATCTGTTACTCCTCAAGCATGGCAATAAATTGGTTTAAATGGTTCCTGACTCATTAGAGTTGTGATGGATTTTTTTATTTATTCCAACCTTATGTCTGAGTCTCTTTTACATTAAAGTCACGACAGCAGCCTCACTGACCTGTAACATTTCAATCCTCCATCACCTTCAACACTGAACAAGTCTGAATTGAATGCCGTCAGATTAATTTAAAAGCTGCAGCAGCACATCGAAAGAGATTAAATGTTCATCTTCTTCTTCAGAGCTGTGTAATAAATCTATCACTTAACTATAATCTCTAAATGTTCAAGCATGCCAACAGCAGGGCTTATTAATTACAAATACCCAGCAACACACTTAAAGTACGGCATGAGAGGTATAAGACCCGACGTTATGTCTTGTTGCTTACTGACAGTTGAAAGGTATACATTCACTCTTATTCATAATTTAGTTTTTAATTTACTTGTAAGAGAATCATGTATGTTTGTACTGTATGGTACTACATACGTTGGTTTCTTCTTTTTAAGGTCACATTGTTCTATTTTCTTATAATACACTTCAGTAAAAAACATCTCATAGATATTTCTTTATTTTCTTGTCTGTATTTGCATTGCATTTGATGTTGAGGTAATCCAAAAGTAACAGAAAGTAATCAGGTTACATTACTTATTTTTTCACATGTTACTAGTAGGGTTGCAAAGGGGCGGAACATTTCCGGTAAATTTCCATGGGAAGTTAAGCTGGGGAATTTTGGAAATATTCCATATTGGAAACTTTCCATGGGAATTATGAGAATTTATGGGAATTAATGGGAATGTATGGGAACTAACTGGGAATTGAGGGTAATGTAATCGAATTGTATCATTTTATTTTGAAATGAGCCGTTGCGACTTCCGACTGATTTCGATAGAGCGGGTAACATATGAGCACAGCCCTCTGTGGATGTCAGCATGAGCAAGAGAAAGGTATCTGAGGAAAATCGTGTTTTCCAAGAAAAGTGGGAGAAAGAATATATTTTCACTGAATTCAGGGGTAAACCACAATGTTTAGTATGTTTGCAGGCTGTCGCTAGTACTAATTTGTGTGTGTGTGTTCCAAGTGAATCTGCGGCCCCCTGGTGGCCAGTACATAAATTATGTAGCCCCCACCACCATCCAAGTTGCCCATCCCTGCTGTAGGGGGTGTGGTCTCAATAGCCATGCAGTAAGCAGTGTGCTATGTGCATGTGATTGAGGAATGGCATGGATATTCAAGTGTACTTGAATGGCATCAGTTTGTTTTAGTCAAGATTATGCTAAAATATACTTTCCACAACTATATTTAATTTCCCGATGAAGAGCCAACCTTCAATTTGTTTATTCCCGTTTATTCCCATGGAAAGTTTCCATCTTTGAAAATTCCTGGAATTTTGCAACCCTAGTTAGTAGTAATTGTAACTGGACTCATTTTTTAAAGTAACCACTTCCAACCATCCTTGATGCACAGCTTTGTTGAAAACTCAATTATAATCCAGGTCAGTTACATCTGCTATTTATTAGACTTTTGCTATGCAGGTAGTTTAGGTAAAGTTTTTGATCAAAATGCTGTTTCAAATTATGGATTTCTTTAGTAAGTAGCCTTGTTATATGCAGGATAACTGTGTCAGGGTCTTGCATCACCATCACTGCAACCCATTACATAAACACATGGAATAAAACATTGATTTTACTTTGAACTTTGACTCAAACTACAGAGGAGGCATTTCAACTACTGTCCTGTTTGTTTGCATGGAAAACTTGACCTGTTGGCTTCAGAGGATCTTCAGAGTTATAATTTACGGCTCCAAATCATGACACAACCCCTAAATATACCACATTTACAAAGAAGGAAGAGAGAAGGAATAATCTCAAAATCCAAGTACACACAAATGTCATGTCATACTTTTGATTTCTGAGAGAACAGGGGGAAAACAAAAGTTAAAAAGCAACAAAAATAGGAGGCAGTGAATGAAGAGATGTAGATCCTGAGACAAATATAGGTGAGACTCTTATTGTTGACTCATTCCCAATTAATAATCATCCTTAATTACCTTTAAGGGAATTACCTGGTTCAGCTAGTGTATTACAATTGTAGTTTTAATGGTACATTTCGAACAAAAAGGAGACTTCAGGTGTCATCCACTTACATTCATTACTGTAGGATCCTTTCAATATCCATTAAAAGGAGAGGATGATAAAGGTGACTCTGCAAAAGCATTTCAATGGATGACATAAGTAATTCCCAAATAATACTAAATTAAATAATACATGTAACTTCAAGGCATTTTAAAGCTTGACGAATTCATACAATACTTAATCTGCCTTGATTTAAACGTAGTATCTCATCCATTGTTATTTACATTAAAGTGGACCTATCATGCTATATTTGAATAATATAGTGTAGGACCATACCTATATAAGGCATATTTATACTTTTTCTTTTTCAAAATACCAAACAGATCATGCATTTTAGCCATTTCGCTCAATTTGCACTTTTTTACCCCTGTTTTTGCAAGGGCTGATTCAGTGAGAACAGCACCATCTACTGGCCTGGCATATGTACTACAGCGTCTCCAGCACTTTCGAACGGCAATGGCCGTGGCTGTCTCCTCCTGATTGGTGGAGTTGGCCCAATAGCCGTAGCGCCACCGTCCTGACGTCAGGACAGTGTTCAAATCTGGATCAGTTTTGATCAGATTCGTTGCAGCCCCTTTTTTAGAGATTTGGGTATGGAGGAAAATAGAGAGGGTTGTGTTTTCTGACACTTGGTGAGTTCCCTGGAATATTCATGTATAAAAGACGTACAAAAGTGCATTTTGCATGATAGGTCCCCTTTAACACTTATTTTTAAATAATGTTTCAGATGAGTCATCATGAGTTTCACCAATTGTAGTCCACAGGAAGTTTAAAGCTTCACCACCGTTGCTAAGCATGAGGATGAATTGTGTAAATAAAGCAGGATTAAAGGCCAGCATGCAAACATATATGTAAGCAAAACCAAATGCAGGTCAGACCACATGCACACCGTCATAGCACGGCAAAGAAAGCTTGAGATTTGAACTCTGGAGGACACTTTGGCCCAATTCCAAACTGATCCTGACAACCTTTCCGTCTCAACTTCCACGAAACAAAAAGTTCCAACAGTTCCTGCTTGAGAGAGTGGAGTTTGTCCCAAAGCTTGCCGCTGTATTTACACCCTCCACTGATTCAGCTGTGAGTGTGACTACAGAAAGAGTTCACTCAGTCGCTTAGTGGGAGTGTGTTTGGGTCGGTTTGGAATTGGTCCTTTAACCATGATCGCGTAGCAGTAGAATCGAGTAGTTTCTGTTGTTTAAATGTAACTGGACATCTTCCACGTTTGATTGCATACGAGATTACGACAAGACTACAGCTTCTTCCCACTTGGAAACTAAAGTAGTTCAGTCTGCAGTTTCCAATTTTCGTTAATCAGCACTAACCAGAAGACGTCAGATGAACCCATCCAAGTTTGATTCAGGGAAGTACATGCGTGTAACAAAGTTAAAACACAATGCCACAACTGACTCGCGGCTAATGAGAGAAAACTGATTCCACTTTTAACATAATGGCAAATGCTTAATTAAACACCAGTGAATTACAGCATCGCCCTCCTTTTACCATGTTGCAGCATCATTTGAATAATTTAATCTGTGTGACATATTCAAAACACATTGACTTCAATGAACTGTGATTATTCATGCTTAGTGGGTTGAGTCTTTCTCTGGGAAGAAGACTTATGTCTGAGTCACCCTGCTGTAAATCTGGGTGCCCATAAATGATGGATGATTTGAATCACCAGCACACAATGAGGAGTTACAGTATGTGCCGATCCCAACATACAAGCAAACACATTGTATAGGCGGTCTTTGGGAAAAAGAGAAATAATTACACATTCAGAGTAAGTGCTTTTGTTTGCTTTGACGAGTGGGAGGACAACCTGTCAATCAAAGAGTTAATCACGGCAGAGGAATTTATAAACAGGGTTGTTATCATTTCAATGTTCATTCCTCGTGAGCGGAAAGGGATATTTCTACGGTGTCCAACAGGTGCACATGGCAGCAATAGCCCAAACATTTCCATGAGGAGAAACACTCTACAGCTTCAGAAACTATGCAAATACAAAAACAAAATGTGCCGAAACACATGCAGATGAAGGAACATGTTTTGCACGAAGATGTAAATACCAAACTCCGGCCAACTTTATAATGCCCAAACGTCAACAAGTGTGAATAATTTGTGTCCTGTGGCTTCTGTTGGGTTTTGAGCTTCTTGCAGCGTTTTAATTATGCAGCACTTTTAGTAAACGCTGCGCATATTTCGTGAAGTTGGTGAAGATGCTTCTTCATTTGCCATCGTTATGGAAACGACAGTGCGTTTCTCGTAAAGGAAATATTTTGGGCCGGTGTGTAGCGTGTTTGCACTTGTCGGACACCATAGTTTTCTTTTTAGATTAACAAATGAATCCAATCAAAAATATGTAATAGCTTGAAGATTAGTATTAACTTGGAGATTAAACGGAGATACACAATAAGATGGGTGGATTCAAATTGAATCGATAACAACCCTGAAGTTTAAAGGGTCTTCAACAAAAGCAGATCCATTATCCAGAGGAAACAACCTGAAAGAGTTGAGAGGAAATCCCAGAATAAAATCACCTGAAATAGAGAACTTTAATCAGGGTTATTGCTTGGGGGGAAAAAAGTCAAATACACAGGTCAGCAAATCCAGAGTTAATAGACATGGAAGGAGCAGCAACATGAAGAGAACGCTACAAGCAAGATTGGAAACACAAGGCTTTCAGGGAATGCTGCCAAGTCAATGACAGCATCGTAAATCCATTTGCTTTTCCCAAGGCCAGCATTAATCGGGAAATGTGCATCCATACTCAGCATCCTCTAAACAATATCAAATGCAAGCTTTTCACACAGAAAAAATGCTTTCTGCAGACCTTAAGTTTCAAAAGGGCTTTACTGTCAATGACTATATCATCAGACAACATTAAAGTACCACATACATCAAACCGTATTGTTTTATGGCTAGCTTAATCATTATATAGTTGTGTAATTACTGCTTTAACTCTAACAGTCCAAATTAAACTTTACTGTCAGAGCCCAGCACATTAACACAAGCTTCAAACGGCAGCTAGAAATGATGTAAAAGATTTCTGCATCGTTTCTCACCAATCCTCCAACAGAAAACAATTAAGAGAAAAGAGAAATGAGCTGGTGTAAACCAAACAAAGACTGACCAGTCCGGCGTCAACATTTCCTGTTCATTCATGACACACCCTACCAGGAAGGCTTTTATTTTGAAGTCTCAACAGGAAGTCTTTAACCCAACAACAACAGGGGTCACTACAGGTCAAATCATATGGAAAGGACATGTACTGTATGTAGGCATCAAACGAACATGTCATATGACTACATGAGCTTTTAAGGCATTTCTCCCACGAGACTCACACTCTCTTCTCTCTGTTGTGTTGAGGACATTACTAAACAAACAGGTCCAGAGTAGAATACCAACAGAAGCGCTGATCATTAAGCTATGATAACTAAATTGTGAGGGAGAAAAAGTGGTAAACAACCACCTCGACCACACATTATCTTTCTTAGGATCCCCATTAGCACAAGCATTAGCATCGGCTCTCTCACTGTGGTCATTACCATACAGACCAAACCATCATTTCAACCAACATCTTATGTCACATTTGATTCAGCTTCAGAGTAACATGAACCTCCTTTCTTTTGCATATCGTGCTTGAGCAAAGTGAGAAAAAAACATCCATAAAATCTCTGATGCAGTGTAACATTTCTGCCAAAAATGTTAATAAAGCATTGGTGGATCTCTGCCTGACAGATAGGGATGGGTATCGTTTGAAATGTATCGATTCCGATTCCGGTTCTGCTTATCGATTTCGGTTCTTATCGATTCCCGTTTCGATTCCAAAATTGTAAAAGAAAGAGGTCAAACGTTTAGATAACAAAAATATCTTTATTCTTTTAAGCTTTAACTGACATTTTTACAAATAAAAAATATACATGCAATACAAATGTATTGCACAATAGCTGTGCTTTATTTGAACTGAGCTATGCCTGTGGCAAGCTATTAACAGGCATTACACTGTGCCTTGTCTTTTTCTTTTTTAGTGTTTAGTCTCACTTTAGAGCGTTTACCGCCATCCATCTTCGGTGTTATGAAGTGACTGAGCTCGTGAACTGTCTACGGGACCGTCTGTGGACCTCTGTCGCCTGTCAGCGCAACTTACATGATGCCGTTTAAAAAAATTAAGGGCGGTGCCGGCCGTCAACGGCCCGCTGACGACCGGCCGTTCTGTGATTCTCCAGAACACACAGATGGCCAGTCCGCCCTTACCCTGGCTGTATTCCACCGGGTCACCGCGGCGCAGACGGACCCAGTGGAATACAGGGTCTACCGCGTTTAGGAACCGTTAAGCAGAACCGAAATTGTGTATTTTGTATGGGTACCCGGTACCCGGCATTTTCTTATCGGTTCTCATCTGGAACCGAGTTTCGGTTCCCAACCCTACTGACAGATAACCAACTTTCATCCATGTCTGTTACACTCGTGCTGCTTTATTTTGAGCTACTTGTAATCTGTTGAGATCTTTCCCTGAAGCTCTGGACCAAAATTACAAAACAGTAACCAAGCTGCAACAGAACCAATGCTTTAAAACACGTCTAATGGTATCTAGCAGTAGTGACACACACCTTCACATTTGGCACACAACGTTATCAATGCAAATATCAACATTAAACAGGTCGAATAACACCAGAGCTGTGCAGCATAGGAAAATGCAAGGCCCCGTACGACTTCACACAAACTCCAAATGCTGCCTGTGTCCAAGAGCTCTGAGAGTAAAGAAGAGGGAAGAACTCCAGAGGAAGGAGGGAGGGTGTTTTGAGGACGTTGTGGTTACCTGTGGTTCGACGGGCCGGTGCATGGCGGGCGCCTCGGAGGCCGAGCTCCCGTTGGGGTGGGAGGAATCGGAGCGGGGGGGCACCGGAGGCTGCGGGGGTTTGATCAGCGGGGGTTTGATCTGAGCCGCCTGGGGAGAGCCCTGGATGTTCTTCCTGTACCGATCATCAGACTACAGAGGACAGACAGACGCATTAGCAGTGGTTTAGAGCAGAGCTTGAGCTGGTCGCCGTTTTATAAGAACCCCCTCACTCATCTGTGATAATTCGCCTACATGTTTTCTTGTATTAAACCCTTTGTTATCGTGTTTAACCCAACTGCTCCTAAATGAAAATCACGTGTATAACTCACATTCAATACAAATGCATTTAAACTTGAAATGTGCACTTGTCAGGTAAAACAACTGAACAGTCACTTTTATCCGTCAAATTTGTAAAAGAAACATTGTTATTTCCTGTATGTAAGACAAAAGTTGTGAGTGAGGACGTTAAGAAGAGTGGACAGAAGCCGTTAAACGTTATGGTTAGCGCCGCCGCGAAGACGGTTTCTATCAGCTGATACAGGAGGAACAACAAAGAAAGCACTTCCTCCAGGGCAGCGGTGTTATTGTTGCCACAGTATTCCCACAACCCTGCTAGTAGGACAACGGCACCACAACCAGCAAAGTGGGTCATGCATTTTTCATGTGGAGAGACACACATTCACAAAGGTTAGGACACACACCGAGGTCCAGGACGAGCGTTTTTTAGTCTGAAATGTCAAAGTAATCGTTGGCAAGACCTCATTTGTTCCTCAAAACAAGGTCATCCACATCTACTGTAAATCTGAAAATGACTGCTCTTACACTTCTTCCTACTGTAGCTTTCACTGAGCTGCTCTAACCAAATCTTTTGGGCTCTAATTGGATTTGAACTTTTAGGCATTTCAACTGAGAATAATCAATTTGTGAAAACCGATTTCAGGCGGCTGCAGATGCAATCACATTTGCAATTAGTGAATCTGATTGATTCAATTATAATGTAATCAGCAAATTCATTATATATGAATTGTTAACATCAAATCGGAGATACAGGGTCCTGCGTTTTAATAAGATCAGACTGAAGCATTCTTTTGTGCACCAGTCAATCCTCAAATTAAATCCAAGGTCAAATGTACATCAGAGGGTCTTGAGCATGTGTCTCTTCAGTGATCGTGATGTTATGTTAAATGTTTGTTTTCCTTGTATCTTGTCTTAAATATTTGTCCTTGTTGATATCCGAATGGAGCTGCTGTGATGCAAGAAAAGTGCCAGACTTCATCTTGGTATTATTGTATCGTGATAAAACTCAGACAGAGTGAGGACTTGAGCAGTTAGACAATAAGACTGGTGGTAAACAAGCCAACAAACAGCTAAGTTAGAACAAATTCTAGCCAATTAGCCCGTCTACCAAGCGTCCACACACCCCACACCAGCAGCTAGCCATCCCAACACCCCACACGGTGCGAGTGAGTTCACACAAGCAGAGGAAGCGCTCTACAGCAGCGAGGGTTCACCTCTCTGATTGGCTCAGAGTCGGGGGCGGGGTCAGCGACAGGAAGCTTGGGTTGTGCAGTTCTCTCCAGACTGGGATTTTGAACCGTCTTTTCAGATTCAGCGCTCTGTGGTTGTTGAGTTGTCTCCGGCTCAGAGCTCTGCGGGGGCTTCACCCCCTCGTGCTCCCCGCTCTGGGGGGGTTTGGAGCTCTGCTGCTGGGAGGATTTGTTACTATCCAGGCCGGGGTTTTGCTGGAGGGACAGCAGGAAGGCCTGCTCCTGCTGCAGCTGCCTCTGGAGCTGCTGGGCCTGGCGCTGCTCCTCCAGCTCCCGCCATTTATTCTCCTGAGTAACAGGAAGGGGCAGGTTGAACCAGAACCTCTGACAGAAAAAACCTCCTGGGATCCCGACACATTCCTCCTACCTGCAAGAGTCTCTAAATCCACCTGGCCTTCATGAGGGAAGTAAACATGTTCACCTTTCTATTGTATAATAGCAAGAGCGCTACAACGGCCCATAAAACTTGTAGCGAGAAACGGCGCTGCACAAATATAAAAACATAAATGTGTTAAAACACGTGCAAATGTGTTTTCTTGATTCCACAGGACACTCTGAAGGAGGGAAGAGGAGTTAGTACACGGCTTAGATGAATACGCGATTATAATTGGTCAATTTAAACATTCCAAAGACCGTTGCTAAGGAGAACACACTGTTGCTAAGGAGGACACTCTGATCCGACTTCACGAAACAGTGAAGAAAATACAAAACACTGCAAGAAGCTCAAAACCCAATGGAATCAAAGGGGGACACTAAAAAAGTGACGCACACAGCTGGGACCGGAGAGCTTGTTGGCGTTCGGGGATTATAAAGTTGGCCAACTGTCAAGTGTTTGCATAGGTTAGCTACGTTAGCTAGCTAGCTTAAAGAATGTCTGCAATGATATCGGAAGGAACCATGTGATCACATTGTTAAAATAAGCCAATTAATTATACACTTTAGGAAAGTTTCCAGTGACAGTTGTCCAACTTTATAATCCCCAAACGTCAACAATCCCAGCTGTGTGCATCACTTTTTAGTGTCCCCCTTGATTCCATTGTGTTTTGAGCTTCTTGCGGCATTTCATTTATGCATTTCTTTTAGTAAACGCTACACATGTGATGTCGAGTCGGTGAAGACGTTTCTTCATATGCATGTCTTTTGGCACATTTGTGTTTTTTTTATTTGCATTGTTTTTGAAACTCCAGCACAAAAGTGTTGGGCCGTTTTAATGCATTTGCACATGTTGGCCACCTTACCCTCCCCTTTCATATAAAAAAGTAATCGTTTCCGGGAGAGTCTTGCTTTTTTTTTTTAAATGTCAAACATTAGGCTCAGCTAGGCTCTAACCCCCTAAAACTAAAGCAACATAAGCTTGTGGGGCGAATGTCCAACTGCACATCTGGTAGAGCAGTTAGCTTTTAACCACTGAATTATTATGAGACGAATTATTATTATAATTGATGGATTGCCAGAAGCTTCATCTAAAGTATGAAGCGCTTGTTAAACGAGATATTAAACATTTGTTCTCGTTAATGTGGCCTCAGAAATGTTTGACTATTAAAAGTGTGAAAGCCAACCAACCATGATGTGAAGGAAACTTGTTTTATTTTTAAAGCTAGAGTTTATGAATGGTGACTGTGTATGAACCGGGGAGTCAGCCAATAATAAAGTGACGGTGTGAAACCTGGAAGTGAAGACATGAGGGCTCATATCCTTTCATTATTCCAGTATCCTCTGTATTCCCTGAAGAGGGGCTGAAAACATGAAGTCATACAAACCACCAGAATAAGACCTGAAACATCTGGAATCAAATCAGGGGAAACCCTCTCTTCCAGCTGGACGACTAGCTTCCTGGTGACGACACTATCACTACGGGCCTGTAAACATCCCCACTAACAGAAAGAAACCCTGAAATTCTTATTACGCTCTGACCTCATTTGTTAAAGGCTCCCTGTGGATCGACATAAGTTAGTCCCAAAAACATAATTCAGTCAGATAGAAAGGAAAAGTTTGTGCAGCAGAGGAATTATAAGTAGCTGCATTAAGACTTTTAACAACCTGTGAGTTGTGGAGAATAATCACTTGGGACTGAAAAGCGGATGGAAATAACATTAAGGGAATATTTAAGATTTACAGAGGCAAGTGGGAAAGAGAGAAGAAACTATTTAAGTAGAGAATAAGTGTTAAAGGAGTATGAGTCGCCAATACTTAAAAAACCAAGAAGGTTATATTATATTGAGGGATCGCGTGAGGCGACTCACCAGCAGCATGGCCTGTTCGTGCAGCAGCTGCTGCTGCAGGGTCTCAAGGTGCCTCTGCTCCTCCTCCAGCTGACGACGGATATACTCCTGTCAATCAAACACAGAGCGTGTTTATTAGCTTATATCGCTTTTCCAACCCAGGTTAGATTTAAAGGGGCCCTAGTCGGGTCATTTATAGGTGTTTTGTATTTAGTGTCTCTACTGGGACATGTCTCCATACTTTAATGGAGCTCTTTTTCTTCTCATTCTGCCTGTGCTGCAACCTCTTTTCACCCTCTGTCTGAAACCAGAGCCCAGTCTGCTCTGATTGGTTAGCTGGCCAGCACTGTTGTGATTTTTCAACGGATTAGAGATGTCCCGCCCTCTATCACGTTCAATGTTTTGGAGCACGAGTGAAATAGTGGTAAATAGTGATGCCACTATGCGTACTTAAAAAAAAAAGAAATCCACTTTTTGAACTAATTAAAGCAACATCTTGTGAGTCCTCCCTGACCTGCTCTCTGTCGGCCCTCCTCTTCTCCTCCTCCACCCTCCTGCGCTCCTCCTCCTCCTTGCGGCGCCGCTCCATGTCCTCCACCCGTCTCTTCTCGTCCTGCTCGCGGCGGCGCTGCTCGCGCTCCTGCTGCCGCCTCATCTCACGCTCACGACGTTGTTGCTGTGGAGACGAGGACGAGAGTTAACGGAGAAACCGGTTCATGGCTGACGGTAACCTACCTTTGTGTGTAGTCACCAGGCTGTACCCTTTACAGTTTCATAAAGAAGTTACATTTCTAAACAATGGGGATTACTAGCACGATTACATTGTAGGTAGAAACCTAAAACGATCATCATCGGTTCATTTGTGTCCCCGTGCTTCTGAGCGTTTCCACAAACACTTGTCCCCTTCTTTAATGAAAAAAAGTACTCAAAGCAAATCAAGATGTGATTACAGTGTTAAACAAGATAAGCAGGCTTGGGGACTAACGGGTTACATGTAATGGGTTTAGATAATAAGGATACAAAAAAAGGTAACTGTATTCCCTTACAGTTACATATAAATAATGAGATTACTGTTACATTTCTAAATAAAATGGGGATCACAGTGTTCCTAAAAACCTAAAAATATCATATAGTGTGTGTTGTAAAAGGATCAGATGTTGTCTCTTCTCTGTTGGCTGCCTGAATCTGCTTTATGGTTTTCATTTGTTCTGTTTTTAATTCAGCAGGTGAACCTATACGTTCATAACATAGTGTGTGTGAGCTTTAACTGTGTGTGTTAAACTAAAACGGAGCATTTTCTGTCAGCTCAGATTTGATTTTTGAACAAACAACGTATATTTTAAGGTCTTTTCTTGTATGAGTAAATAAATGCAGACGTGGATGAGCTGAAGTGACAGAAAAAGGTTAACATGTAATATTCAAAGCCCTACATTAAGACTTTTTTGAGGATGTTAGATACATCCTCATATGGTGCAAACCATGATGTGTATCCTGTGCATTTTCAAAACTATTTACATGCAGTTTTGTTGGAAATAAATAAACACAGCAGTATATTTCAAGGTATATACTTGTACGAGTGAGCTGATAAGCTGAAGTGACAGAAAAAGGTTAAAAGGTCCCATTTAAAGCTCTGCCTTCAAACTATTTTAAGTCTGACAGGCAGTGATCTGATACTCGGCTCTCTAAGAAGACACGAGGAAGAAATTAAACTGATTTCTGTCAGTCAGAGTGTTACGTAAAGCTTCAGGACATTAGATTTGGGTTACAGTATCATCGTGTTTGCACTAATGCAGTCTTCAGGAATCCATAGGAGCTAAAGACAGCACATGCACGGGGATATCTCTGTAACATGGCTCGAGTTCAACTCTGTGATTCAAACACGTGCAATGTCATGAATCAAAAACACAGCCTGGAGCTCCTGTGGGAAAACACGAGCTTGGTGAAGTCATTTATATATATGAACACATCATGCCCACACAAAAAAGCGAAATAGCTTCATAAATTGACAGTCTTAATAAAAGTGGTTTGTTCTTCCACTGGCTTAAGTCCTTATTTATTTTTGTAATAATTTATTTGTTTGTCAGTCCTATTATTTAGGTCCCTGCTCTTCCTTTCAGAGTCCACTTTCATCCGTTTCTCCCTGTTAGCTCTATTAATTAAGCTTTTTATTTGTTTTAATCAACCAGGACCAGAAGTGTCCAGAATGCGTTGGAAATTCCCTTTACCTTGGCTTAAGTAGAAAAGACATCTATGACATCTTCTATACTATTTTATACTTCCTGTATCAACACACCAACATTAGTACTTAAACTGGGATAAAAACCCAAGTTAGCCACAAAGAAAACTACAAAATAAAGTCATTTTTAGCTCCTAAATGCTGATGTCCTTCCTCCTCAAAAGCTTCATAAATAACTCGCGTTCTCTGAAACAGGATTATGTTTAGTCCTATTCTCAGTTACAGTGTAGCTCCTGGGAGCCCTGCTGTGATGTTTCATTAATAATATATAAGTGTATATATATATATATATGTATACTTAAGGTAATGTTCAGGAAAAGCCACAGTTTTTCACAAGCTGGCTTTGTTTTAGCAGTTTCAGTCGTCACCGCTGAAGGTTTTTGACATTTTTTGACAATATTTTATAGCTAATAGGAGACAACATACTTTTTTTTATGAATTTAAACCATTCTTTAAATTATTTTCTATACTCTAAATGTATTTTTCGATGAATAAAAAAAAAACTTTAAATGCCAGCTTGCTGGAAAAAAAATGCAGCTTTTGTTTTTTTATGTAAATACATTTTAAAAATAAAAGTTTCCAACTAATATTCATCTAACTCAGGGGTGAAAAACTCAATTTCATCTCGGGCCACATTAGCATCATGGTTGCACTCAAAGGGCCAGTTTTAAATATTTAATATACATAAAATAATGTATTATATGACATTATTACCTCTGCATTGGATGATTATCGGATAGGGTAATAACTTCATAATTAACTACGTCTGAAAGCAGAAGTCTGGGGCAAATAATTGCAAGTCTCTTCAGTGAGAATGTCACAAAATGATTTAAAAAGAAAAGCCAAAATCTGGAAAAAATAAGTGACATTTTGGGGAAAAATAACATTTTGAAAAAAAAGTCAGATTCTGAGAAAAAAAAGTCACATTTGAGATGCATTGTGGGACATGTAGTTTATGGGCAACGTGCTTCTGTAAATCTGCATGTAACCGTATAATAAACATATTATATTCTTTGCAAGCTCTTGTGGGGCCACAGAACATGAAGTCACGGGCCGGATTTGGCCCCCGGGCCTTGAGTTTGACACCCCTGAACTGCTTTAAAAACAATAACAATTAATATGATTATTTTCCACTTTCACTGAGTTATATTCAACATAATTATATCTAATATATAAAATCAACCAAATATTACAATGTTTTAAAAACTTTAACTCTTTAAATGCCAGTATTTTAATATAATGCAGCTGTTTCTTTTGTTTATGAATAGATATTTGTACAATGTTAATCTCCCTAGTGAGACTCACCGCTGAACGAGTTAAACTATTTATATACGTTCATTTATTTGGAAAAAGCAAAGAAACGTAAACCCATCCAAGATAACCTCCTTGTTTTTAAACCATTCTGTATCTCTTTTACGCATGGGATTTATGAATCTGTTATTCATTACATTACATTACATTTAGCTGACGCCTTATTCCAAAGCGACTTACAATGACCAATTACAGGGACATTCTCCCTGGAGTAACTAAGGGCTAAGTGCCTTACTCAAGGGCACACTAGTGGTGGTGATCCTGGCGGGATTTGAACTCACAACCTTCCAATCTTCAGCCCACCTCACTATCCATTAGACCACCACTATCCCATTATGTTTATCTATTGTGTTCCGTTCTAGATGGTTCGTGCTCACCAAACAATGCCATGTCTTGTTATGCTGCTGCAACACAAACATTTCCCAACTTGCCATCAATAAAGTACATCTTATTAATCTTCTCTCACCTCCTCCAGCCGCTTCCTCTGCTCCTTCTGCTGCTCGATGCGTTTCTGCCTCTCGGCCAGTAGTTGGCGCTTGTACTCCTCCTGCTCTCGGAGCTGCTGCTCCTGCAGGTGCTGCTGGCGGCGCAGCGCCTCCGACCGCTCCTTGTTCTCCTGCTGCAGCCGGATGAAGTCCCTGCGGAGGGTCGACTCCCCGGGAACGTTCACTATGGAGCTGCAGGGGGGAGGAGACGTGAGGCGTGAATGAGCTTTTCATTTCAATACGCAAATTATTATTATTTTTATTTGTATTTGTTTATTCCACACATGGCAGTTATTTTAAAACAAAAGATGTACACTTTACAAAACATGTACACTTATACTGGTTGTTTATTTATTTTTTTATAGCGCATGGTGGAAATGAGCAGGGGGAAGAACATCTTATTCTACCTGCCCCTTCTTACAAAAAATAACAACAGCAAAAAATGAAATAAAAGCAATATTCTTTCAGTCACAGTTGCTTACAAATACTGAAACATAAAACCAGAACACAATCACAAGTCAACTTCAGACGTCCCGACATCAGGGTGCTGAGGATTTAGTGCAATGCATAAAAAAAAGCACCATTAAATAACGAAACGTTTCATATGACTTGATAATATTTTCTCACCTCGGCTCTCCTTCTTGCTCGTTTGCCTCTTCCTCCTCTTCTTCACTGCCACTGTATTCATACTCCGTCTCATCTGAGGGAAGCAAGGAAAAACAACATAACAGATGAGTACAAGTCATTAAAACGTTAGACTGTAAACACACAATGTTCATATTGATTACCGTTTTATTACAAACCAACATTTTGAGACTTTTTTTCTCTTAGAGTCGTATTGATATTCTGTACAAACTGTAAGGTCCACTGGGACAAATGTAACACTTGTGATATTGGGCTATATAAATAAACATTGATTGATTATTATTATTATTATTATGCGCCGCTTTCCCCCTTCTACTCCAGTTGGACTCGCACTTTTCCTTGTTGTTGTTTTTTTTGTTTCTTTCCGTTAACTGTCAAGTGGGAACTAAGTCTTTTTTTTGTACGTTTTTGGGTTTCTCTTATTTTCCTACGATACTGTTATGATTGGCTGTGAATAAGAAAATATGAAGGACAGACCATATATTTCTATTTATTTAGTTTTTGAGAAAGGGGCAGGTAATATAATGGTAAAGCGTTAAATGTAATCAATCATTACCGTTTTATTATAAACCAACAGTTTGAGACTTTTTTCTCCTAGTATCAATGGTAAAAATAATAGTTGAAGCTTAAATGTAACGTTAGAGGAAAGTGTAATGGCAAAGCGTTGGATGTACTCACCCTTCTCGCCCCTCTTCTTCTTGGTGCGATCGATGTGGTCCTTCAGCTGGATGCGCACCTGCCTCTCGTTGGGCTGGTCCCGGATGTACGGGTGTTTGAGCAGCTGGTCGGTGGGGGGGCGCTGGGTGTAGTTCTTCACCAGGCAGCCCTCGATGAAGCTGAAGAACTTCTTCGACCTGTTGAGGTTGAATGTGATGTTTTGAGTTAAAATGTGAAATACAATATCCTTTTTTATAACACAGCTTAGGTGAAAACTTGATTCTGATTGGTCAATTTGGACATTCCACGGCTCTGCAATTGTTTTATAACAGACCGTTGCTAAGGAGAGTAGTCCGTTGTTAAGGAGAGCAGACTGCCGTTAAGGAGAGAAGACTGTTGCTAAGGAGAGCAGACTGTTGCTAAGGAGAGCAGACTGTTGCTAAGGAGAGCAGACAGTTGCTAAGGAGAGCAGACTGTTGCTAAGGAGAGCAGACTGTTGCTAAGGAGAGTAGACAGTTGCTAAGGAGAGTAGACTGGACGTCAGAGAAATCCACATAAGAAGACAGACAGGAAGTAAATACTAACAGAACACAGTATGGGCTCTGGCAGTGTTTAACACTAGAACCGCCAACGGGTACATTTTACCCGCAGCTGTTTTTTGATTGTATGTAACTTTTTTTCAATAAAATATTCAAGTCTCCCAGTCTGTGACTTTTACTGAAAGTGTGTTATGTAGCACCCTCTGTTGTAAAAAATTGTCAATATGAAGTCAGATTGAAAAAATTGCCCCAAAAATGGCCATTTATACCCATTAGCGCCAGCGGGTAATATTTACCTCATAGAAAATGCAGCGAAAACATAGACATGACATGTTGCTATAGCAACGCCTTTTGTCTACTGTGGTTCCTTACAGATAGAGATCGATTGAGAGAGACATAGATAGATAGATAGTTATAGATAGATAGATCATATGAAAAGCTGAGAGTCCACAGATTCTATTGGTATAAGTTTCATCCCTGTGCGATCCAAACTCACTGTTCTTGTATGATAAATAAAAGAACATTGTACCTTGAAAATCAATGCATTCTAATAGCGGGTACATTTTACCCGTTGGCGGTTTTAGGTATACAGCGGCCCCTGGCGGTGTTAAAGACTGGTTACCGGAAAATAAAATATGAAGAGACGTGGACAGCTACAGAAATCCTCGATCTGTGCTGCCGTCATTTTAATTTACGTTGCTGTATTTCTTAGGCTGAAGCAATACGATCATTTTCAAATCAACATTATGAACCAAGCGGTTGGTTTATTTAGTATGTAGCAGTGGATTAAGTGCCTTGATTCACATTTTCCCTTACATGACGAAAGTGGAAAGATTAAAAACTGAAGCCCACCATTTTTTAGACTTGAGCCGAGGAGGAGGATTTCTAGGAATGAGGAAGAGAGCTCTCATTGGATGCATGTCACAAAGAGCTAGAAGAAACAAAAGAGAGAAGAGCAAAACAAATACATAAAAGTTAAAAATAGTTTTTAAATGATTTATAGTTTTTAAAACCTGAATGTGATGTGAACTTACGTGGAGCTCCTTCAGCCATCTCTATGGCGGTGATTCCAACGGACCACAGGTCACTCTGAAGGGGGGGAGAGGAGTTTATTACACGGCTTGAATGAATACTTGATTCTGATTGGTTAATTTGAACATTCCAGAGGTCAGATATTTTTCGCTAACAGACCGTTGCTAAGGAGAACAGCCTGTTGCTAAGGAGAACACTCTGATCAAGGGACTACAGTATGTGCAATAATATCAATCCACAAAAAGAAGTCCGGTCAATTTGATGTCAGAACGTCGTCTAAAGTGTAAAAAAAACACACAAGTGTCTGAAGGAAAATATGTTTTGTTGTATTTGTTGTTATTAAACTGTTCAGAACTTTTAATTAGGCACATAAACAGAAACGAGAGGCATTAATATTAAACTGTAAAAATAAATACACCGTTTTTTAAATATGGAAGATCTGGGAGTTTAACTTCACTTCACGATGGGGACTATTTTCTCACTTTCCTGGGATTCATTCTTGTTATTTGTACTTCTATTTCATGTTGTAATGTTAAAGAGCAGATCTCGTGTTTGTTGAACTCAGATTCCTCACCCTGTAGTCGTAGGTAGCGTCTGGGTTTTCGTCGCAGGCGATGACCTCCGGGGCCATCCAGTAGGGCGTCCCGATGAAGGTGTTCCTCCGCCCCACCGTGCGGTCCAGCTGAGCGCTCACACCGAAGTCCACTGGGAAAAAGAAAGTGACATCAATTATGAAACGATTCGTTAAGAAAGTTGTTTCTATACAGTATCTGAGAACCAAAACAAATCGTACCTGAGGAGTGTCATACGCAAATACTTGTTGGACTCAAGTAAAAGTAGAGACATGAAGGTGCTTAAATGTTTTATAACAAGTAAAAGTCCTTAAATGATGTCGTGAAAACGTTACTTGAGTAAAAGAACAGAAGTTTTATCAGTTTTAAATGTACTTAAAGTAACAGTTTGCACAATGGCTCTTTTCACAATACTACTGTAAAAGTTGAGATATATTTAAATACTTGTAGAAATACTGTGTGGATTGGTAGTATAGTAGTGCATCATATCATGAAGGCATAGCGTTTTTTTCATATAAGATTAAGATAAGATTTACTTTATTGATCCCAATTTGGGACGTTTTTGTAAATATGCATATGTAAACCATGTTAAATAAATGTAGTGGAGTAAAAAGTGCAATATTATAATATAATAATAAGAATATTAAGCACAAATGAAAATGGATGTATAAAGTATGTCCAAAGTAACACTACTTAAGTACATTACTTGAGTAAATGTACCACCAGGAACAAACTGATTATACTGAAAAACTTAAAATGTAATTAAAACACTGCAGTAAGAGGGGTCATTCAAATTCCAGCCCCTAGCCAAATAAAAGATTCAGTCTCTCCTGATCGTAGCCATGTAAATGAAAATGTATCTCGTTCTCTTGTCACTTTAAACACAGGTGGGTGCAGGCAGAATTAAAAAGAGCAGAATATTGGTGACAGAAAACAGTCCCACAAATGGATGATAGCCGATGTTTCTGTAGGGTTCATCGAGTTCAATGAATGCCCTTTTCTGTATGTATGTATGTAAACAGTGTTTTATCCGAACCCCTCAAAGCACTTTACATTCTATAAGGCATCTTTCCCCCATTCACAACTTAAATAAGCTGACATTCACAAACATTCAGACACATGTTCATTATAATAACATCACAAGTCAGTGCTTTCAAGCAGTTAATGACACTAACTAGTAGTAAAGTGTGCCATAAGTTCACAAGTACTTGCTGTGTTAGACTTTTAAACAACAACTACAACTGTGCAATCATGTGAAAGCGTTTATAAAGTCTACAGGCTTAACAGTTCTACCTTAAATAAACCCAGCTCTTACCCAGTTTGACTTCAGCGTTTTCAGTCAGGAGCACGTTTTGTCCCTTGATGTCACGGTGGATGACGTGGTGAGCGTGCAAGTGAGCCAATCCCTGCGCGGAGGAGAGAAGGAAACAAACATTTTACACTTTTAGTTAAACTTACTGCAACAACACTGAACAACCTCCTGTCCTGTCTATCAGGCAATTTGTCAGCAGAACAGAGACACTTTCAGACTTTTCATGACATGTTTATAGCGCTTTAAACAAAGCTAATAGACACTTTACAAGTAATATTTCAGCAAGGAGGTTGAAAGCACGAGTGAAAAGGTGAGTTTTAAGCGCTTTTTTGAATGTGGATAGCGTTCAAACACACACACATTCTGTCATAGTTCATTGTGTTTTTAGTTTGCCGGCTAAAGTATATCTGATTATTAATATGAAATAGTGATGAAGGCTTTGTGACTGACCCTGAGGATCTCTCTGGAGATGTATGCGATCCAGTCCTCCTTCAGCGTGTTTCCTTTAGTGTTTTTCACCAGATCTGTGATGGAGCCGGCGCCACAGAACTCCATCACCAGCTGCAGGAGAGAAGAGAAGACAGTGAGAAGACTGAGAGGACACACACACACACACACACACACACACACACACACACACACACACACACACACACACACACACACACACACACACACACACACACACACACACACACCACACACACACACACACACACACACACACACACACACACACACACACACACACACACACACACACACACACACACACACACACACACACACACACACACACACACACACACACACACACACACACACACACACACACACACACACACACACACACACACACACACACACACACACACACACAACTTTTAGGGGCCTTAGTTCATCTACTATTTGTGACTTATCAAACAGTAGCCTACATGTATCTCCTTCTAATCCTCTGTTTTAGCTGCAGAGGAAACACTGTGTCATGCAAAGGGACTAAAAACAGTTACATAAGATTGTTAAAATTATTCAAAGTGGAGCAAAAGCACAAAAATGGCAGGGGGTTATGGGACTGTTAAGTTATATATCTGTCTTTATATCTGTTTTTACTGTTAGAGGCACACTACCTACATGTTTTAATGCACATTAACACACACACACACTGATTCTAATATGAACATCGACCATCTGAGCATTTTACCACAAATAAATCAAAACCACATTCATTTTGTAGTATGACTACCTTCACCAACTGTCAGTCTGTATTAGTTTGTGATTTGATTTTTTATCTTTTTTCCTACTTGGTCAGATCTGAAATGAAATGACTCTCTGGTGAGTCAGTATTATGAGTCAAGTCTTTGGTTTATTTAGTATGTAGCATATTAACGTTCAGCGAGGCACTCATTCATTGATATAGAACATCGACACGGTGCAGTGCGAAGTTTAGTTTAACTTGAAGCACTTTGCTATAAATGAATATAAATTATATATCAATGAATGTTAGAAATCTACTCACCCATAGCTGGTCGTCGTGTCCCGGCGGACTCTTCTTGATGAACGCTCCGTAGTACGTGGCTATGTTTCTGTGGTGGGAGTACTTCTTCAGCATGTTGATCTCCAGCTTAATTTCCTCCTCTTCATCCTATAAAGACACAGAGAGACAATCATTAGTGTGGAGTAAATATCAACATGGTGCGTGATAGGCTAAGGGGCGGGACATCTATAAGCGGTTGACCAATCACAACAGAGCCGGCCAGGTAACCAATCAGAGCAGACTGGGCTCTGGTTTCAGACAGAGGGTGAAAAGAGCATGGAGACATGTCACAGTAGAGACACTAGACACTGATATGAACCTGAAAATGAGCACGATATGTCCTCTTTAATAGTTCAAAGAAATATTTTTCTATTCTCCGAAGCTATTTTCTCTCCAAATATGAAAGACGTGTTCTAGACTGAGGCGAGTAAACAAACAGTGTCCACAGCAGTCTAATAAGCGGATATCACCCGAACAAACAAACATGCAGATACAGGCTGAACTGGAAATGAAAACAGAGGCGAACAAACCCCCGTCCCTCTCCTCCCGCTCTCTCAGGATATTACAGAACAGACTCAGACACGCAGTCAGACACAAAACAAGATCAGGTGATAATGCCTCCATCACTGACATTTATTTGCGAGCGTTTTGCTTCTCATCCCTCAGGCCAAACGGGGCTTACATGACATGACATTTTAACCGTTAAAACAGCTGCTCGATAAGCAGGCAGCAGCTCGGACTCCTGCAGAAACACCGCATGTCCACAAAGAAAGAAAAAAAAACCTCTGAGGAACCGAGAGGAAAATCTGCTTGGCTTTTCATTTTGAAGCTCATGAACCTTTGGCATTTTGTTGAACAGATGTTTTAGCAGTGCTATGAGATGCTAACATCAGCATGCTAAACAAGAGAATGCTCAGATGGTGATGCTAAGAATGTGCTTTTTTTTAACATGATCACTGTCAGGGAGGCTGTGGTGCAGTGGGTTAGTGTTCGGATCAGGGGGGCACGGGTTCAAACCCCACTGCAGTCAGCATGTCGTTGTGTCCCTGAGACACTTCACTGCAAATTGCTCCTGTGGGGATTGCCCACAGTATTGAGTATGTAAGTCGCTTTGGATAAAAACAAGTAATGTCATAGTTTTTGATATTTTAAACTATGCTTTGTGTCCTTCCTGAATAGTCAGATAACCTTCCTTTATGAAAAGGTAGCCGTCTCTATTACAAATAAATTACATTTTTGGGTGTTGGGATTCCTTTCTTTAATCATGACGTTTAAACATACCTTTTAGATTTTCTTTTTCCCACTCTTTCCATCTATAACATGTGTGTTTAACTCAATATATTACAAAGATGGTAAAAGGTATTGGTGATATCTTTGTTTTATCAAATGCTATGCCTCTCTGTGAACATCTAATCTAAATTTGGTGGATTTCTAGATCATTATTTCCAGAGATATATGCAATAAGGCAGACACAATCCCCTTTGGAGAAGACCACATTTTCGGTTATGGGAGGGTCCCAAACAGCAACCAAAAGTCAAGTACTTTTATACAACCATCCATTTAATAAAAAAACTGGACTTATTAAATAACATGTTTGTGCTTTGTTCTACCTTGTGTTTGTTACCTCAACTTTTAGGGGCTTCTACTATTTCTTATTTCTCCAACAGTAGCCTCGATGCATCTCCCTCTAATCCTCAGTTTTAGCTGCAGAGGAAATACTGTGTCACACAAAGGGACTAAACACAGTTACATGAGATTGTTAAAATGATTCCCAGTGGAGCAAATTCACAACACTGGCATGGGGTTATGGAACTGTTAGGTTATATATCTGTCTTTATATCTGTTTTTACTGCAAGAGGCACACTACCTATCTGTTTGAATGCACCTATAGTAACTAAGGGGTGAGTGATTGCAGCGTGGCGACTGCCAACACATCATAAAGCCTTTATATTTATGACTGCAGGGAGCTACCTCAGTCTGCTGGCTGTCAACATACTTGTTGTGTTTTTTTGGTGCAGGAAATGATAGGTGTTAAATCACATGTGTCAAACTCAAGGCCCGGGGGCCAAATCAGGCCCGTGGTGGATTTAATTTCGGCCCGCAGGATAATTTTAAATTACTATTCGATCTGGCCCGCCGGTATATTGCACGCACACCTTCACTCAATCCTGAGGGTCTCCTCAGCTCAGAGCCTGACCCCACACATTGATGAACTTGCACCCAAGATGAGATGCCAAGTATCTGGCTTGAACTAGCATCACAGAGCAGCACACTGAGTTTACATGGATGTTTCCTTCTGCACTTTTTCTCTCACGACAACAGGGCATGTTTGGTTTTTTCTTTGAGGGGAATTGTTTTTTTGAAGCTGTTGTTGGCCTGTGGAAAAATGTAATCATAAGAAATGAATGCAACTGATTATTTAATGTTTAATGTTGTTTTTATAGGCAATCATTTAAGCTTTGTTAGTTCCAGGTTTAATATGTGCAATAAGTTCATTTCAATAAGTTCTGCTATAAACATTGAACCAGTCCGGCCCTCGACTAGTACCCATTTTTTTATTTTGGCCCACTGTGTATTTGAGTTTGACACCCCTGGTTTAAATGCTGAAATGAAAACACACAGGGCTTATCGAGGCGTGCAGCAGCAGGAAGGGTAGATGACATTTCTGAGTCTGGCCCAGAGGTTAAAGGGCAATTCAGCCAATGTTCTGCATTTAAAGATGAAAGTGACTTCTATAGGTCTATAAAAAAACTCCTGCAGCTCAGTTTCTCTATCTCTAAAGTACAGAGCATCCACTCAACATATCTATGGTTATTTTAAAAAGGAGGTATTGTTATGCTGTCAGTCACTTGAACCAAACTCTCTAAGCTCAGATGAAAAGTGTATTTCCTGCTGTTTTCTAAATCTAAAGAAGTTGGACTGAAAAGAAAAAGTGTAAAGTTATGAAATGTTAAAATGTGTTTGAACAGATTCTCAATCATTGCAAACAAAGTGCAGAAGGAAACATCCATGTAAACTCAGTGTGCTGCTCTGTGATGCTAGTTCAAGCCAGATACTTGGCATCTCATCTTGGGTGCAAGGTCATCAATGTTTGGGGTCAGGCTCTGAGCTGAGGAGACCCTCAGGATTGAGTGAAGGTGTGCGTGCAATATACCGGCGGGCCAGATCTAATAGTAATTAAAAATTATCCTGCGGGCCGAAATTAAATCCACCAAGGGCCTGATTTGGCCCCCGGGCCTTGAGTTTGACACATGTGGTCTGGAAGAACAAGAAGAAGCAGGACGAGATGAAGAACAAGAAGATTAAGATGAAGGAGAAGAAGAAGAAAGAGGAGTGGGAGTAGAAATTAAATAAAAATGGTGGTGTGTCATGTGTCTGTCTCACAGGCCCAATCCCAAACCACCCCCTACCCCCTACACCCTACACACTACACACTACCCCTTCGTTCGCGCGGAGGGTCCGCCACATTAAGTGCTGTTCCAAACCAACGAGTGTGGAGCGAGAGTGGGCTATCAAGCCATCAAACAGCGAGTCTGCATCGGTGCTGACTGGAGACCGGTCTCTACCTGACCGGAGTCACGCTGTGTGTGTCCCTCAGGAAACAAGCTGTTTACAAACAGTTCCAGCAAACATCCACTGATAAACTGCGATGTTAACAACCTCATGATAACCTCATATTGTTTTAACTTAGGATCATACCTGTGTTTAGTCTAGAGAAAGATAAATGTGTGCATTTTATTATAAAGTTGTGTATATTTACAGACTGTTGCAAAAACTAAGAAGCTTATAAACATCAGGTTTAAAACTAAAAGAGCTTTACAGAAAAAGTAACACAATTAAAGATGTTTGGAGTTTTATTTTAGTTATTCATTTTAATTTGTTGTCAAAGAGATGCTGATTTGAAACCATTGTTACATACAGTTACGGCATTTCCTGTTTCTGCCGGAGAGAGGGGAGGTTGTCCCAAAGCTTGCCGCTGTATTCACTCCCTCCATCTGACAGGAGGGAGCCTCGTTGAGCTGCGAGTGTCACTCCACGGAGTGTGTAGGGTGTAGGGCGTGGTTTGGGATTGGGCCACAGTGATGGGTCTGTCTGACTCGGAAATATGCAGAAAAGTCGACAAACAGTTCCTCTTACGGTCGACAGAAGATCCCATCGCCCACAAATTGTCGGTCATGTGAACATTTTTGGAACGAGTCGGCGTAATTACAGCTGCTGAGGGACAGAGTGGAGGAGCAGGGAGTTCCTGACACAATATTTACCACTTCGTAAAGATTTTATGGATCAAAGAGGAAAAGAGAGTCGTCGCTTCAACTGAGCCAACACAAGAATGCTTACTTTTTACTATGTTATATATCCCAATGAGATATCAACTGAATCAGCTAGTTTAAATAATAAATGGACATGATGTTAAGTCACATGCCTCGCAATAAAACATACGTTGAAGAGGGAGTGGACAAAATGATAGGAATGGTTTATAAAGCAGCCAAAACATATACAAAAGTCCAGCTAACCACGATGATGCCCTAAGGAAATGTCAACTTTTTAAATACCTTACTTTTCATTTCGTTATTCTTTTCATAAAATAAGTCAGGCTAGAAAATCCTAATTTGAGTCAACTTCAATTATTATTATATGTTATGTTATGCCGTTATTCAAACAACAAGACATCGCATTACATGTGGACATATGTGAATAAAGCGTAAGACGAATAAACCATCAGTACAAAAAAAAGTTATTCTGAGATTGTAAGAAAATCGTAGAAAATACTCATTAAAGATTCATTTGTACTGGAAAAATACCCTGACTTTTGGAAACATGGAATGTGTTAGCATTTAATAATAAAGTAGGAATTGTTTGACGCTCGATATTCTGTGAGATGACTCATTTATTTATTTCAGTTCGAGAATCTGGCCCAGCTGTTTTCAGAACCTGACAGCAGACACACAGTCAGTCTGTTAGAAAGCATCATTAGGATTCCACACACACACACACACACACACACACACACACACCACACACACACACACACACACCACACACACACACACACACACACACACACACACACACACACACACACACACACACACACACACACACACACA